ACACACACACACACACACACACACACACACACACACACAGTGACTAAGGGATTGAGGTCAGCTGGTCTTTTTAGAAACTTAGTGGAGCTTAACATGGAGAGTAATACTGCTAGAGGATCGACTTAGAGTCCTCTCCTCTCCCTTCAGTTATTTTTCCTTTCCTTAAATTGACTCTGACTTTGATTCATCCATGATTTACCACATGCACACTAAACAGGTAATACATTTTAAAAATGATATGATTTGTTGTTGATGGTGGGTGAAATTAGAAGTTGATGAATTAATTTATTTGATTCACATTTAATAAGATACATTTCTGATGAATGTGTTTTGGTTGTCATGGCAATGATCCCTGTTCTCGTCAATATCAGCTCCATAACGAGAGCTTGTTGGTCCTGTAGTGTCTCGGAAACAAAGCCCAAACCCTGTTGTATTGTGAACGTGTCAAGGACATTCCTGTGTCGCTAAGTTGACTTAAGGTTCTTATCAAATCCTTAGAAACTTATGCTGAATCTTCCCCTTTCTTTCCACTAAAGGACTTGCTTTTACCAGAACACAGTTAGATTGTAGATGTGTTGTCTGTGACACACATCGCCTGTAGAGACTTCTCCTGACGAGAACGCGCAGCTAGGGGGGCAAAATCTTTTTGGCCCCACACTGAATCTATTTGAGGGTGCTGATTGGCTAAATTGTATGTCACTCATTTATATCTTTAATCAGCAATTGGCTAAACTGCTTGATAGACCCGCCTCTTTTGGGCCAAAACGATTTTGCCCCCCTAGCTGCGCGTTCTGAGACGTGTCGTGCACACAGGCGGAGAGCACGAGCAGACGAGCACACAGGCGGAGAGGACGAGCAGGAAAAGCATATATTTTGCGCAGATATCATATTTTACACATATTACTGGGTACATTCCATAGTTCAAAAACACAAATATTGACAATTTGTATAATTTATGATTATAATTTTTTTTTTTTCTTTTTTGTGTGGCTCAAGGTGGGGCCATGCCCCATGGCCCTCTATTGACCAGCCGCCACTGTCTGACTCCATTCCCCATGACTCCATCAACCAGCCCCAGACCACCAGGTCCCCTTCCCCCAGCCCAGCAAGGGCCCACGCCTCTGCACCACCTATCCCAGTGCTCCCCCCACCCCACAGGTCCCCCTCCCCAAGCTCATCAGGGGCCCATGCCTCTGTACCATCCATCCCATTGTCCCCCCCACCCCCCTCCCCAGTGACAACTCTCTCTATTCTGGAGTGAGACGTCAACAGGCTTTTTAAGAAATAGAACCCCTGCAAAGCAGCCGGCCCAGACTGTCTCCCCCTCCACCCTGAAGCATTGTGCTGATCAGCTGTCTCCGGTGTTTACCAGTTGTGAGGACCTACTGATCAGTGACCATAAATGTATTTTCTTTGATCTTTCTGTAAATGCTGACCCCTTGTGTCTGAAACGAACATTCCACTCCCGCATTATTACTCAGAGTACAGCTGATCAGTTCTCAATGCACTTTTGTGATATTAACACAAATCACAATGATGTCGAACTCTTAATACAGTCTTTTAATGAACATTGCACCACATTGCTGGATAAAGTGGCACCTCTTAAGGAAAGGACCAAGGCTGCCTACAACACTTCTCCGTGGATGACAGACGCTGTCTGCAGCCTGAGTGTTGCAGGACAGAGCGGCTCTGGAAAGCCACTGGGCTAGAAGTGCATCGCTCATATCTCAAAGACCTTAGAGTTTCTTTTAATGCTGGAGTAAAGGAAGCTAGAACTGCTTATTTGGCCAACTTAATCTCTTCCTCAAAGATAAATCCCAAGATTTAGGTTGACACAATTAAGAGAATTGTTTCACCGTCTGTCTCTACATTACCATGCTGTTCTGTTGATGATTGTAAGTTCCTTACCTATTTTAATGATAAGGTAATAGCTATTAGGTCTGCATTCAGCCTGGGATCTGTTCATCTACATGTAGCTCCTCAGGCCATGTCCACATTACTCCGTTTTTACTCCGTATTTGCTACGTTTACACTGAGCGGCCACACTACGCCGGAGTTTTGGAGCACCCTAAACGGAGGAGTCTGAAAACTCCCCCGAGGTTCGAGGTATTTGAAAACTCCGGGGTTTTGGTTGTGTGTGGACGGTCGGAAACGGATGTATGTTAGAAAAAATGAGCCCACACCCGTGCTCGCTACTGGATTGGTTATTAGCAGCCATGACGTCTCCGTCCCTGATTCGTCACACTCACTATCACGTGACCCGTACCCGGAAGAAAACAAACAGCCAGGGCGACCAGTAATTCATTTCAACATGGATAACTAATTTCAAGCGTTGCTGCTAGCTAAAAGTCTGCATTTCTGTGGAGGAAGCAGCTGTTATTGGGGCGATTAGCGAGCGCCGTGACCAGCGGCGTCATCAGCCCTATTAAGCGGCCAAGCCAGTTAGCCATAAATGCTATTCAGAGCTACGAGTTACAACAACCTGCGCAATCTAGGGATTTTCTTTGATCGATCCATGTCGTTTGACCCCCACGTTAAGCAGCTGTCCAGATCATGTTTCTTCCACCTAAGAAATATTAGTAAACTGAGATCTGTAGTATCAACACCTGAACTAGAGATGATCATACATGCATTTATCTCTTCACGCATTGACTACTGTAACAGACTTTTCTTATCACTCAGTGTATCTGCTCTTAACCGCTTGCAGGTCATCCAAAACGCTGCCACCAGATTACTCACCAGGACAAATCGACGGTTTTGTCTGTGAAAAGCGCTTTATAAATACATTTTACTTCACCACCCTCACCTCAGTCAATATTATAAGCAAATACAAAAGTCATAATCAAAAAGAGTAAACAAACAAGTAAACAAAAAACCAAACATAAAGTAAGCAACATAAATCAAGTAGAAACATTAAATAATCTAGTGAGTGTGTGACACGCTTAAAAGCACTATTGTCCTCACGAGAGAGAAGAGTTCTCGTCAGATATGATCAGTACGAATAGTTTGGCTCATCAGACAGGACCTAAACCTATATTTGAAACTCTTGAGTGAGGTACTCTGAAATTAAACTTTCATAAACCGAAATACTTCCTCCGCCAACGATTGTACACATAAGATTGTTTTTTTTAACCTGAACCTGAGCACAAGCACTGGGGAAAAATGTACAACAAGACTCAGCACAAGGGAATTTGTTTGACAGGAAATGACCAACAGGCGAGTGTTAAAAAATAAAGATTGCATTGGAACTTTGCTTGTGCTGCTTGCTCAAAAATATGGCCCCTTTTCTGAAATTCACTCTTCATAATAATTGTCCAGAAAAAAATCTCTGTAAACCTGAAAGCTAATGGGTTAACTCGTCTTTAAGAAATCATTTCTAAAAGTCAGTTGCAGGGTTCTTGAGATCACTAAGAGTTTTTTCAGAGTTCTAGTTTCAGCATTATTATCATAACTTCACAAAACGTCAAATGAACTATAGATGTACACACAGGCTCTGCAACCTTTTTGATATGAAGTGCCATCTTTACATTTTCTTTGAAAGTGTGCCATATCAACAATAAGGTTAATAATAAGTTGAATTATGACACCACATCGACATTTAAATCTCACACGGATCTGTTATTCTGTTCCATTCATACAGGTAATGTGCCTAGCAACATTTAAAAGATCCATAATTCGGTCATTGTAATTCAATTTGAGATCACCAAAATGAAGGCTCCCATCTAATGAAAACATCCACATCTGAGTTGAAATAGTTTCTTGCATTTTTTCACCCAGCTTGGGGCATTTCTTACATTGTTAAAATGCCCCTCAAAAATCATTTCAGCTTTGGAGAAATTTGAGCTTGTAACATAAAAAAGTTTACTGTAGATGCTCCTAACTTTAAAGCAACGGTAATATAATATCCAATATTATATTGTTTGTAACCTGCAAAGAAATAACTGCATGTGACTGAAAGTGTACTGCTGGGGATCTAACACAATCATGGTGTCTGGAATTGTATTAGTAATGACTAAACCTACCTGTAGTTCTCCTGTACAGAGAAACTAATCCATTCGTTGCATTTGTCCTTGTCCTGTCTCTTACTCTTTTCACAGATCTCCTTACAATGATGAAGATAAGAGAGTAAAGCGTGAAATAGTAAACTGTGATTTCCCAGATTGTCATTCTCATGTGTAAATGACAATCTGAAACTTGTGTCCCATGTAGTTTTTAGTCAGTCTCTCAGGAAAAAAGTGATGTTGTGATTGTATTAATGGTAAATCGACCAAGCTGGTAATTTTGTCTAATTCCTGCAATAATTTCAATATAAATTGGTCATATGGGAGAAATGCTTTTTTTTACTTTCAGCATAATATAGGCATTTACAAAACCAGGTCAAATCAAATGAAACCCTACATTTCACCAAGCACACTTTAGACCATTCTTCACTTTTACTGGAATTTGTATTACAAAGTATAGCCAGGATCTTACAAATACTGATATATTTTTCTGAAAAGCTGCTGCAAATCAATCAATCTAGGCTTCAATAATCACAGCATCAAGTATCTTTTACCCTGGGGGGGACTGTGTTTTCTTATTTCCCACCTTTCTGTGTGTGCTTTACCAGTGGTAGCTTTACTTTAGTGTAACAGCATGGATAGCATCAGGATGTTCCCACTGCTCAATCCTTTATTATTATACCTTTAAACATTGTGCTTCTCAGAGTAATCTGAGCCAAACAAACTGTTCCCATGGTAACATTATGTATTCTTGTCTCTCAGAAAATCACTTTTGATGCATACAGACGCATGGTAAGTCATAGTAATTCATTAGAATTTATGTTAAAAAATATGTACGTTAATATTATATCCGATACATAGCAGACCCAAATTTCCTCCACACTTACTGTTGAAGGTTTGAAGCTGTAAAGTCAGCTGACTTTCAGTGAGCTGGATGTTTTCATTACTTCTGTGTCTTTATTTTGCAGTCAAAGAACTTTACACACTGCAATCTGCAAGTTTTATTGCTAATAAGATAAGTTAAAAATGTATAATGTGAATCCAAAAGTTTTGCTTGCTGTTGAGCTGAATCATGTGGGCGGGACATACACTGAAAGAAACACATCTCTATTGGCCAGTCTCGATTGGAGCGACAGCTTGGCAACATGTACAGCAAGCACAACTTTTGGATTTACAAATATAACTTTGGGATTTGCATTATTACATTTTTAATTATATGTTTATCTTACCTGTAATTAAACATTTTTGGACTGAGGTGTTTTGCTCTGAAATCTATTTTCTGGTTAATTTAAAGACACAGATGTAACCCCATCGATTGTCTCATGTCTGTCTACAGATTTGAAACTGGATAGTCGGATATTCTTTGATTTATCAAACTTTTACAAACAATTTTACAAAAAATGTATTTGTGTTCCTCTATCATTCTAGAACTTGTTCTACCAACAAGCTATCATGAGGTCAAAGGTGAAATCTAGTGTGTCCCTCGGAGCGTAAGTTCCTCTGGATTCTTATCTATTTGGGTTTAAATCAATTTGAAAGATTTCCTTCTTAATAAGACTTATCTTTGTGTAATAAAATGTGAAATTTACATAACTATGAGATCTGTATTTGCTCATTGTATGATTATTATATATATATCTTGCAGGCCTAATTATAAGAACAGGATCTTTAGATCAGTATTCAGTGATCAGTTAAAACATTGGCTAGACCAGTTTGGAAACACTGACTTGGAGACTTTGTGGATTCTATTGGTCTCATGATAGTTCTGTTTCTGCAGACTGGCCAAGTACGTGACAACCTACAAAAACCACGACCCGTTCCTGGCTCCCTGTCTACCCAGCAACCCCTGGCAAACAGACAATGACGCATACTGGACTTACAACACGAGACGGTGAGGGCTGCTGCAGTTTCTCTTTCTGTCTGGCTTCATCATCAAGATACTCAAAGGCATCTCAATGAAAAACAAAGACCTATTCAGATTTCTTCGAAGACTTTAGATTGTGAGCCTCCTTTTGTTCCCTCGCAATACTTGGCCTGACCTAGTAACCTTGTATGGTGACTATGGCGCCTGTGGCTGAGGAGATAAAGTGGGCCATCCACTCATCGGGAGATTGGCGGTTTGATCCCTGGCCAGTTGAAGTGTCCTTGGGCAAGATACTCAGCCGCTGCTGCCATCGGAGTGTGTGTGAATGAGCCTTAGATTAATATGTATGCATGTGTGTAATGTGTGTATACATATAAATGTTGACACTTATTGTAATGGGTGGTGTTAGTCAGAAGACTATGAAGCTGCTATATAAATGCAGTCCCTTTACCATTTACCATTGGTTTCTCATCAGTGAAGTAGTCTTGCCAAAATTTTATCAGCATGTGTTTTCACTGCTCATGCTGGAACATGTCCAAGAAAGCTGCCACCTCTGAACATGTAGCTGACCAGTATGCAGCTTCTGCTACATCAGGCAGTGCACAGTTTATGTCACCATCTCCAAGACCATCACCATACGTGTTAACCAGAAGCCATGGATGTCCACTGAACTACGTGCATGTCATGGCAGCCCTCAGATTTACGAGGGCTTATCTGTCCCGGGACATCAGGAGAGCAAAGTGCACGTCTCCCAGACACAAATGACATGCGCTATATGAATGAGGACCCATCCCCCATGTGACCAGGTACTCTTTCTGTCCACGGCCGATGTCATGTGAACCCCAGCTAGAGTGCACTCGAGCAAGGCTGCTGGACCCAACAGTGTGCCTGGACATGCTCAGGGACCAGTTGGCAGATGTGCTCACGGACATCTTCAACATCATCTTGGAATCATCACCTCTGCTGCCACCACACTCAGCACCAGCCCTCCCTTGAGATGTGTAGTAAGCACACTGCTGGTCACACTAATGCCAACCTCCCCTAACCATCCTGCCCACCGTCTACAGAGGAACCATAGAGAGCGTCCTGACCAGCCGCATCCCTGTCTGGCATGGGAAGTGCAACAACTCCCTACAGAGAAAAATTAAGTCAGCAGAGTCTATCACTGGGACCTCTCTCTGCTCCATCCATGACATTTACACGTAACGCTACACAAACGAGGCTGCCAAAATCATAAAAGACCCTTCCCCCGGACTTTTAACCCTATACTGCTGCTGACTCAGCAACAGCATCTTCCCCTAAACTCCTCACACCCTGCTGCTTCAAACTCAACATAAAAAGCAAAGGCCCATGGATCTGGAACTCCTGGTAACAACATATTGGTCATATCTGGTAGAATCACCAGGTTCACTTGCTGGCTTTACAATGCTTTCTCTGCTACTGTAAACAGAGGCAGAGTAGCAACCTTACAGCTACTGTTCATATCCATATCATAGCAACAACTACAACTGCAGCAGTAGCCCAACAACCATGTCAAACCATGTGCAGCTGTAACAATTTGTGAATGTTTAACTGTGTAAATTAAACTTATTTTCATTTTTATTACACTCCATAGAAATGGGTCTGCATAGTGAATGTATTGTATTCCAAACAGATGTTATGTCTGTAAAAGTGTGATGTGGACACTTTCTAAAGGCACAGTCATGTAGCAGTAAGACTTCCAGTGCGTGACTCAGCCTGTGTTTGTGTCCAGAGTTAACGTTCCCACTAAGATGCGAGTCGAGCGCTGGTCCTTCAGCTTGTTCGAGCTGCTGAACGACCTGCGAGGCCGAGACGACTTCAAGATCTTTCTCAAGAAGGAGTTCAGCGGTATGTTACCACATTAGACATCTTTCAGTTTAGACCATGCATCTCTTGTGTGAGATGGTTGTGGCATTCCCGGTACTTTCTCTGGAACCCTTCCTCTTGTTTTGGGCACTTGGGTATTTGTACAAGTCTTAATTTGTTTCAACCTTCCTGATATTAAGGCTAAGGCAGGTAATGGCATAACAATGTAGAATCGTAATTGTGATATTGTTGCTCCTCCCATGTCAGAGTTGTGGTATTTTTAATGTTACATTTTTTCATTTCCTGTGTGCAGAATACATGAATATGGGGTACAAAAACAAGATGTCAAGACATGCAGCTTACATGTGACATGTATTTGAATGCACAACTGAGTCTTTCCCAAGACAATAAGCAAAGCACATGGAACAATCTGTTTGATATGCCATCCATAATCCAAAACATCTGATATGAGCAGTTGTTCAGCAGTACATACTGCAGCTTTCATTGTGTTCCTTGAGCAGGCTTGTAAAACAAAATTATTTAACAAATCGGTCTTATGGTGCCACAGCCTGGGTTTAAAAACACAATAATAAATCACTGTATAATTTTGTGTGTGTGTGTGTGTGTGTGTGTGTGTGTGTGTGTGTGTGTGTGTGTGTGTATCATAAGGCGAGAACTTGGCTTTTTGGGAGGCAGCTGAAGAACTGAAGTGGGGCACGGCATCTTCCATGTCATCAAAAGCTGAGACCATTTTCAAGTAAGAAAAAAACTAACTGTTTATCTGTGTGTGTGTGGGGGGGGGGGCATCCATTGTCAGATGCTGGAAACGGAATAGAAAGAAAAACCTATTTTTTTGACTGTTTTATACCATGATTGACTGCTGACTCCTCACTCCTTTTAAGTGGCTGGTAGGGGCTGCAAGTGATAACAACTGCCTCAGTGGCAAAAGACAATCTGCTCGGCTAAAAACAAAGGATACTAAAAGACAAAACCCACCAGCCACAGCCTGTTCACTCTGCTCCCGACTGGCAGAGATACAGATGTATCAGCTGTTGTACTACCAGACTTCAGAACAGCTTCTTTCATCTGGCTGTGAGACTCATTAACTCATCCTCCACCCTCCACATATGATTTGTTTTTTGAGTTTGTATTGTCCTGACTGTGAGGGAGCTGGGAGGGGAGAGGGAGACACACTTGGTGGAGATCTGCCCTCCACTGAGTGCCCTTTTCTAGTTTGCCATGACAAAGGTCTTGGTCCTTTAGTCCTTTCATTCACTATTCAATAAATGTCAGAGACCTCGTGATCAAACTTTAACATACTGTGAGTTTCACTGCAGCTCGGCAGTTCTGAGAGGTACTTTGTCTGATATAAGGATAAAAAACGTGTATAGACACAACGGATGACCATCTCTCTACTCACTTGCAGCTTTCAGTCTACTTTATCAACCGTTACATTTCCTCAAGACCAGAGACAGCCCTGACCTCCCTGGGGCCCTAAGCTAAGTTTTGCTAAGGGGCTGTAGCGTGAACAGTTCCTGCCCCGGGAAAGCAGGGCAGGCCTGCGCACCTAACACGGTTACTCCGTCGGCTGTCCCACCTACAAAGATTAGGTTCCTCTTGGAGGTGTCAGAACAATACCTTCGGCCTTTTATCTCACCCCGTAGCGGAGTCGTTAGGATTTCGGAATTATTGTCTTTCTGAAAGTCTTGTACGGCTAAGCCCTAGGCGCTCTCAGTAGGATGTAACCCTAACACCCAGTATGAATAGTTATGTACATCGTCTATACTTTACTATTGCCTATTGTGTACATCTCACCATTTTATGACGAACACTGCCAAGTCTTCACCCAGGGAACTTACCTTAAGCTCCTCTGGTAGCTTCTGTTGTCACATCTGTATCGCACGGTTAACGGACAGGGGAAGAGGGTTAAACTGTTCTAAAGAACCAGAGTACTTTGTTTGGTTTGAGCCACTTACAAAGGCCGTGGTTTTATTAAAGTTTTTCACACAACAATCACATACAACAATTTCAATTCAATGAAACAGTCACAGTGCTACAAGAACTAATTCTAACACTCCTACTGTAATAGGTTTTTTCTATTCAGCTTTCGCTGATTTTCTAAAGAAATATAATCCAGCTTCTCTGGAAATCTCCCCTCCTTTCTCCCACACTCTCTGCTCTGCTGTGCTGGCTCTTTTTATGCTGATCTTCTGATAATGCACAAGATAAGATAAGATAAGATAGACTTTATTGTGCCGAAGGAAATTTGTCTTGGAAACATACATACAGTGTCTGCTGTTAAAACAATACAAATAACATATTGCATACACACATTACATACACAGACTGTCGCCAGTCCACATACCCGCACACACAGTACCTACAGTAAATGCAAAAGACTGCCGCAGCCAACAAATACATTTCACACTGCCCGTTGTACAATGCACCAGTAGTGTATAGTTAAGATAATACAAAATAAAAATCTGTGTTACAGGAGTTAAGCTCTGGCTAGCTTGCCATTTAGGGCTTTGCTGGACAAGGGGACAAAGGAGTTCTTAAAGCAGTTGAGCTGCACTGGGGGACTCTGAAGCGTCTGCCTGAGGGAAGAAGTTGATATTCAGGGTGGAGGATATGAGTGGGGTCTGAAATAATCGTCTGGGCCTGTCTGATGATAGTTTCATCAAAGACGGCCTGGAGTGTGGGATGCTGTCTGACTCCCATGATTTTCATGACAAAGGGTCTTCTAGTCCACCTCTGAGGGGGTAAGACCCCTAAGGGTATATTAGAGAAGTCTATCCCAGTCTCTAGATGGGGAAAAAGCAGAATCTCACAGTTGTTCTGCTTCTTTTCTGCTACTCTGAGTGTAGTACCTCCCCTAATCACATGCGTCACACATACATGAGTCCTCCTGCTTTTAGGTCTGCAACAGAATGTAACTGGTTTCATCCTGTTTTGAACAGAAAGGATTATATAATTTTTGAGTGACTATTTTATATAAGGCGTCTATGCAGTTTATATGGTTAATCACGTCTATCATAAAATAAAACTGTTTATATGTTTAATCACTTCTATCATGAAATAAAACAGTTTATATGTTTAATGGTTATACTTTGAATCAAACAGGTTACAGGTTATAATAGTTATACTTTTATGCTTTCATATTTTTCTACAATCTCTTAACAGGGCCCTACCTGACCCGTGAGCCATGCAAACCAATAGCCTTGTTAACTCATTGTAAACACACTTCATTAAAACTCAACAGAAACAAAATAAAACTCACCTAAACTGCTGAGTGACTTAAGTTCTTCAGAGGCAAACCATTGAATTCGATTATTCAAAAATGAATGACAAAAACAACCGGCGATATAGGCTATTCAGCCAATCATGTGGTCAAAGTAAACTGCAGTTCACAGTGAAACACTTCATGTTGACTCTCTGCTGTGTTTAGTTATGTTAGCTTTTAAATACATGTATTTTGTATTTAAAATATAGGAAGATTTTCCGTTTTCTCACAATTAGGTATAGTAGAGCATTCAGGTTTGGGCTATATAATGTACACAAAGCTCTGGTGAACCCCACAAAAAGGAAGAACAGTCACAGACATGTTGTCCACCTGGCCAACTGTAGAATGTATGAAATAATAAAACTAAGAATACTTTCATAATATGCCTTTTAAATAAAATAAATTGGATATTTAAAGTTTTTTTGAACAAATAGCCAGGCTATGACAGTAGATGTCCAACTGTGAACTATATTATCTGCCAGTAATTGATATGGCATTATGACATTCACATTGAGAAGATACAGCAGAACTTGTAATATAGTGCAAGATTAGATGGTCAGACGTCTCTTGATAAGGTTATCATGAACATACAAGCTCCCAATCTCCCTCTTCCTATAGCTAGCTACTCAACTGATAAGTTAACTTGCTAAACACTGGCTATGCACTAGCCTAGACAGCATGCTAGCGTCATTAGCATGTTAGCATCGATCGCTAGCTTGATATTATAACCATCACCGTGTATATACAATAGGCTATGTAGCCAGACCCAGACATACATTATACATCAAGCTAGTTGACATCTGTCACACTCAGATAAAATATTTACCTTGACAGACAATCGTTGAACTGGAAGATCTGAAGACTGAACTCGTGAACTGTTTTTTGATTCGTGGAGAAAGTATTTTGAGTATTTTAAATACAAAATTAATCCACTCTAAAGTATTTTGTTACAAATTACGTTAGATTTTTTATCAGCCCTATCAAATACAAATTACAAAATACTCAGAAGTAATTGAAATACGTATTTCAAATACAAGTAATAGAAATACTGCCCATCTCTGACACAGACACACACACACGTACAGTTTTCTTACCTAAGTGTGCAAATCAAGAGAGCAACAATTCGTAATCCATATGGAAACAAGAGTCCAAGTGGAAGCAGCTGTTGATCACTTGTGGTGAGAGGAGTCAGGAGTCAGCAGTCAATGGCGGTGCAAAATAGTCAATAAAATAATGTTGTCAATAAAATGTTTTAAGCAACCACAAGAGGTCCTTGAGCATAAATGAACACATATATCAGGCTGTGGGGTCCAGTAGTATGCAAATTTTGTCGTGGACAGACAGACACAGAGATGCACACACACTAACGCATAAACACCCAACCCAATACATAATCTCCTTGCTGAGATAAAAAAAATTGGTGCCTTGTTGAATTTAAAAACACAAGGTGCTGGGGGTTATGTAGCACAGTATTGTGCCTTATTTTCTATAACGTCATGCAAATAACTTGAGACACTACTGAGTCCCACATGGGCAAAAGTCTCGAGCTTGTTACTAAAACACACTTCTACTGCCCTTTACATCTCGGCATAGATATTTCATTTATTTTTGCATATATATGTATTACTACCTGTCATGTACCTACTAACTACATTAAGGTTACCGCAGTACATGACTCTATCGTTTAGCAGAACATAGTTTGATCACATGGACCATATTCGTAGCCGATTGATTAAATAGGGGTTCAGGGCCTTTAATACTTTAATGTTTCAGCAGTATTATATTTCCAAACAAAGTGAGTAGACTACACCCTTACCCCAATGTCAACCAAGATGTTGAACCGGAGTGTCTGTGTGTTTAGGACCTTCCTGGTCCCCGGTGCCCCCCGCTGGATCAACATTGATGGCAGGACAATGGGTCTGACAGTGAAAGGCCTGGACCATCCTCACCGCTACGTGCTGGAAGCAGCCCAGACACACGTGTTCCTGCTCATGAAAAAGGTGCGTCTGTGTACTTGTTTTTTTTACCTTGTAACTAATAATGCCTATAATTAATCTTTGGCAATAAGGGTTTAAGGACTAATGTGGGGATCATCTGAGATCTCTTGTGTAGATACATTACAAATGTATTGAAGTCACTGCCAAAGTGTGTCCACAGAACAGCATAGTTGGAGGGGACGGGGGTTCTATTTTTACTGGGTCTACAGAGGTTACCAGATCAGACATTGTTCCTTTAAGTCGAGGCTATGACATATATTATTCATACTATAATTTGTGATCCAATTAAAAATGTGTATATAAATGAAATACACATTTTCAGATAAAAGGCACTCTTGTTGTGAATCTGAGGTCACCTGCAGTCTTGTGTGCTTTCATTGGTACAGGATACTTTCTTCCGTTACCTCAAGTCACCGGTGTACAAAGACATCCAGAAGAAGGCACTGAACCCTGAGTCTCACAGCTTCAGGTTGGTGGCTGATCCCTTCCATACCTTTGATGACCACACATGTTCACTGTTACTATTGGCATCCGAATATATATACAAAAGGGCTTTAAAATATGTGTGATTGTACCTGTTGTTCTTCCTATAGTCATGTCATTTCTCACCCCACAGTTGGATACTCACTTATGCAAACACTAGGCTTCATGCCAGATTAAAACATATGATAACCTAAAGTTGCACAACAGCAGCTACTAACCAGGTCAGACAGGTTGATTAGAAAAATGCTGACAAGTTAAACATGAAAGTTGTTGCTGGAACTCTAGAGCTATAGATAAAATAACATGCATGTCAATGGAATTTGCTGCCCAGAAAGATACTGAATGAGTCTCCAAACACTTGAGCTCTGTGGAGTATCCAGAATAATGTGCACAGTGCTTGTTGAAAGAAAGGTTGCTGTTAAACGTGTCATCTTTCAAAGTACCACACATGAAATTCTATTCATCTCTATTGAATTGGTGTGGAGTCAAAATGTTTATCTCCCCGGCTCCGCTAGTCGCATGTTGATGTGTCCTTGAGCAAGACACTTAACCCCAACAATTGCTCCCGTAGCTGTGCCTACGGTGTGTGAATGTGATAGAATCTGAATTGTAAGTCGCTTTGGATAAAGGCGTCTGCTAAATGATTGTAATGTAATGTAATCTCAAAACCTGGACGAATGACTAGAAACTGTATGGCTAGATATCAGAAAATAGGTTCCATAGTTTGGAGGAACTGAACCGTTAACCCTTTAAGGCTGCACAGAGAACATAAGGCATTATGGCCTGGTCACGCCAAAAAATAAATCTGAACAACTGAACAACTACACCACCGGTTTCAACAGCCAAGATGCCTGAACCTGCTTCTTTAATCCAACTGAAAGCCACTGAAAAACTGTCCCTTCCCACAAAGAGAGGCTTTTCAATCATCTTGACTTGATCATGTTTCTGTTTCCACCCTAGTCCAGCCCAGCTGGAGCAAAATGCTCAGAATCGAAGCCTAGGCATCCATCCCATCATCCTCTGGCAGCAGGAGGAGGAGGAAAAGGCCAAGGCTGCTATTGCCTCCGCTCCTGTCGACGTCAAGGCCATGATGAGCAAAATAGACAGGAAGAAGTAGATATGTATTTGTGGTTGTGTATTCTACATGTCATGTCACACACTAGTACTAGGGATGGGACCATATAGGATTTTATATCGAATCGCAATAAAAAACGCTCCCAATAAGTTGATGGTGGTGAATTTCTATTATCAGCATAATCACGAATATCATCACACGAGTAAAACTCAGAAGTAAAAAATAGTCTGATTTAAAAGATACAGGAATTATCATGTAAGAAAGCACAAACTCACAATCCAGGGGGACATTATGACTTACGATTACCTTATTTACGGTTGTTTTTCACTTAAAAAAGATGTCATATCTGTGATGCAATAGAAATATTTGTTTCTTAACAAAATGTAGGTAAAAGTGATTTTAGTATGCGTTACTGATGATTGTTGGGAAAATATTGTGAATCACAATTATTTTCCTGGATAATCGTGACGTAATCATTTTATATGGTCCCATGCTTGCACAGTACCAACACAGGAACCAGTCCTCCTGTTAGGATGTATACACTGTACGGAATAATCTGCTATAGTATTCATTATGGAAGGCTTACTGAACAGACCTACTAGGCACAGGCCCAGGGCCCTCTGACCCCATGTTTGATTTGACTCTTTACATGTCTTGTTGGAAAGTCAATCAAATGACTACAAAAATATACAACTACAAATATAACACATATACACGTTAACCACAAAGGCAAAAGAAGACAAAACTACAAAGACACTAAAAATGAGCACAAGCGGGCGTAGGGTCCTGTTGTCCAGGTTGTACATGTCCGTGCCCAGTGGGCCTTTGTCTCATAATCTGTCCATAGTTTTCATTGTCACAGACACATATTTGACTGAAAGACTCCGACTCTGCAGAAATTAGGGCTTTTTTTAGAAAGTGACACAGATTTTCTAGAGACTTCCCAAAAATATGCTGTGTCTCTACATAAGTCATGTTAATGTTTGTATCAACAATTCAAATGTGTCTAATGTTAATTACTTAAATACAATATTATTAGCATATATTACATCGGCCAAAGCATTTTGTCTTTAGCCGAGCTTGTATTAGTTATATTTCTTTCATACATATTACCCTTTCTTGTAACAGTGTGAGGAGATACTGAATTGGAACCAGTCATAGTGGAAATGCACCATATAGTATATAGTAGCAACAGTACAATGATGTTAAAAAGACCCAATTTGTCTATGGAGGATCTGCACACAATGTAAATCTGGTTACTTAACCAAATGTAATAAATGAGATCAAGATAAGCAGACTTCGAGTGACTTCACACTGATTTTCTATGGTGTAGATAGAAAACAACTGCAGAATATTTTCCACAGCAGGCTGGACATAAGACAAAACATGACAATGGCAATTAATCATGTAATTAGTAACACAGGTTGAGGTGGCATTGTAACAAATACTACTAAATAATAGTCAAATAATTAAAATATTAAACTATGTATGTCAAATATATCTGTAACAAAGGTTACAGCTAACTGTAAGGTATTATTTTCACAGAGGTGTCACAGAACGATTTAACACCACTGCAGCTAATGAAATCCATAAACCATGTTTGACTGCAGTGGAACTTCACCACTAGAACACACAGAGACAGACTGGTCCAGTAACGTTTAACAGAGTCTGTTTTGCAGACTGTAGTTTGAACGATGTGGCTATTTACCGATCAGGGAGGGTCTAAACAAGATGCCATTGGTTGCATGATGGGAAGTGTAGGATCAGACATTTTTGGAACCTAATGGGGAGTAAACATGATAATCCCGGTATATATATACACACACCTCTGCTGCTTTGACTGGAACCGTTCCATTCTGTTCGTTGCTACCCCTACACATTCACGTGATGGCTACCTCATGTATACTTTGTTCCTCAGAGAAATTGGCTGTGCACATCTCTAGAGATAACTGCTACATTTTGCAAGATAAGTCTATGAACAGCAGGGGCTTAACTGCATGTTGGATAAGAAAGCAGATCTGTAGCCAACTCTGAACAAGCTAGCAGTACTAGCAGCTCTGTGAGGCTGTACTGAGGCACAGCAGCGCTTCGAGCTAAATGCTAACAGATATGTTGGACTCAGCCAGGGATAACGCGGCCCCGATAGGCCCACTGGTGGAAATCCCTTTCCTCCACATCCAAATTCACACAGTACGCAGACTACTATGAGAACAACGCTGCTCGCCTTGCTGCTGCTTGTTTAAGTATATGATGAACCTAAGAGTGCAAACATTGAAAATACTCAGTTATTCTCACTAATTAACTGCTTGCTAGCTGGCACATAATTACACCTCACTAATTTCCATTAAGGTTCCATTTGCATCAATTGATCAAGTTAATTAATTCACACAAGACGCATTTCTGGAACGACCAAATTATTTTTACTATACATTTTATTTTTTACAAAGTTTCTGCAAGGTCAAATAAAAGGCCTTGTGCAATAAAGGGTTATTTGGCCATGCCAGACAGCCAGCTGAGTTTGAATAAAGACGGAGCGGCTGTGTCTTCGTCCTGATCAGCCAGCTGTCTGAACAGGCTGCCCGGCCGGAAGCTGTTCTCGCTGTCTGCTACGGAGGATGGAGGTGCCTGCTGGAGGAAGGAGAAGACGTCAGGTTGTCCTGTTTGTCTCATTGGTATTTGATGACAAGACATTTGGTCAATGACAAAGAGTCCTGATCCAGGATTATCAAGAGGTATCAAGGTCTCCTGGGATGTGGACATTTCGGTTACTCAAAGACCCATGAAATTAATTGGTGATTAATAATGAAATATTTGGGGTTTGTTGTCACCAGAAGGTTTCACAACATTTGACAGTAAAACAGTATACCAGAACAATCGAGCACTATGATACGTAGCATGACATTCCTGGATCAGGGCTCGGTAGATCCTGGCTATGGTGCTCCATGCTAACACGTCAGTATTTCAGATATTGACTGATAGTAGTGGATCCAAAAGGTCAAATAGCTAAAGGTTTAAAAAAAGTTTAACGATTAAGGCATACATAAAAGGCTACACCTATAGCATGCTAAACGTCGAGTGGGTGTGGACTCTGAGCATTATGTCTAATAAATTAAAAAACTGAGAACTTGTGGGGACTACTTTCCCGGTTTCCAGAGGAATGGTTAAACGGTTTCACACAGTCTCTGATCATGGAACTCCTCACCCAACGACTCACAGAACACCTGGATTATTCTAGTGTCTGTGGGCTACACTGAACAGTCTGACCATTTAGAAACACTGTTTGTTGGAAATATTTGCAAGTCTTTATTCAAGAGTCAGATCAAAAGAATAGAAATGGATTTTCCCTCTGTGTACCCTGTACAGAGATGAGACATGGTTAGCCTATTTTAGCACAAAGAATGAAAGCACGGGAAACTGGTGGCCATTCAGCTTCTGCTAGCTCCAAAGCCAACTGATATTGGTATCATGTGACTGTTGTAAGAAAGCAAGTGACTATTAAAGACTATTTCTCAAAATGTCAGTGTGTTGTGTCAGTTTCTTAATACGGAAGCTTCAAATGTGACGGTTTTGGACTAATCCCAACATCCCCAATAATGAACAATCCCAATAATGCATGCATCTAAAGATTGGATTGGTCCATTTAAAACAGGTAACAATAGCCCAGGGTCTCTGCCGCCCCATGGAACTCTCCAGCTAATAGCCTGATCCTGAGCTACATTATGAGCCCCAGCAGAGAGTGGGAGATTAGTGAGAAACATTTGAATCAGTTAATAACCCCTGTCACACTGCAAATGCACCAAAGGTAAACCCAAGCCACTACTGAAAATACAACCAAAACACACATGCACCCACACTGAGGAACTTGCCTGTGTGTCTCGCACTCAAAAACACTGGGAGGGCAGAAGGTATAACAGAAACATTTTTTCCAGGGTGGAACAAAACAAGAAACAGAGAAATGAAGACATCCTGTGGTAGTCAGCATATGAAACAACAACACTGAGGCTGAGTCAGACTCAGAGCAGCTTCAGTAATCTGATCCCAGCTCTGTTACTCACCAGCTGGTGAGCAGCAGCAGAGCTCCGGGTGGCCGACTTAGATTTACGCACATTGGACATGCTGAGAGGCAGCAACCCGAACCTGCAGAACATTGAAATTATTAAAATACAGATATACATAACCGATAGAGAGAGAGGGTAAAACAGTGCCCTCTTCCTGGTTCACACTAGTAGGACTGGGTACTGAAAGCTCAATACTTCTGAAGCACTGACCTAAACCAGCCATTACATTCTTGCTCAGATTCATACTCTCAACTTATTTTTTTGATCAGACAATTTGGAATTTAAATAAAATGTAACCAATTTCAGATTTTATGTTTTTTTTAATATAACTTCACTGTCCAATAAAAACCATGTAGCTCCAAATATGTTATTTTGGCTTTTTCAGATAAACTCAATGATGAAGTGTTCCTTTATGGATTAAGATATTCAGACTTAATAAAACCTTTAAAAACCTACTGGATTCTCTGTAAAGTCATTGTGACAGAGCCGTGAACGTGACATTATACATGACATGCGTGGTTTCCACACATGTTTGTATTCAGGCAACATTTTAGGAGTTCAGCTTCTTTTGTTTAGTAAAAGAGTCTAAAAGTAAGGAATTGAAAAATTCATTTAGGTATCAGAGCTGAGGTCCAGATATCAGCCAGCCCTCAGGATTCATTTCATACATCGTCTTGGATACATTGTTCTATGCACCCGTTTGTATTGAGTTTTAAGAAATGAATCTGAAATTCACACATTTTGAACAAATATGCACCTAGCACGTGTTCAATCATTTGTATGTATTTATACATTTTAGTGATGTTCCACGCGTAATAAGTTAAATTAGCCACAGAACATAAAGACAATATTATTTGAATCTCAGCTACATTCAGACACATTTGTACTTAAACTTAGTAAAACAATAATGTGTGGAAAACCAGCTTAATAAATTGCCATATCTGTTACTGTCTGTACCTGATCTGGCTGCTGGCCAGTGGCAGGATGTTGAAAGGCTCCTGGGAGTTCACACTGCTGCTCCGCAAGGCAAACTGCTTCTCTGAGCCCGTCAGCAGCCCCAGCAGTACCTGAGACACAACGTTAGCAAGCAGAGCAGCCCCATTTATTATGTTTGCTGTTACTTCATATTATATTATGACATAATATGGACAACAGAGGCATTATGAGCCCATTGTAGTCACTCATCTCTGGGCTAATGTCAAAGCTGGTTCATCAAGCTACGACTACACTGTGTTTTTCTGTGTGGTTGGGGCTGAAAGTACCGAGGTCCTCTGGGACAGGCGGTTGAGGTTGGTATTGAGCGGAGGTGTGAACACGTCCAGGTCAAACGGGTCGATGTAGCCCTCCAGCCAATCACAGACCTCGTGGAATCTGGAAGACACACGGCACAATGTTTACAGCTTTCAGAGCCTTTTCATTTACATTTAAGAGAAATTTAACCACCAAATATTGAAAGAAAGATATCATATGAATAGTTCCGGAATATTTTTCTCGAGCTACTGATTTACATGGTTACATTATCCCTTTAAAATGCTCATGTTTGCTGAAAGTTTGAACAGGTCTATGAAGCGCTTTTTGTCCTCCAACTAGCTTCGGTTCTTATAAATGAGATCCAAAGTGTCACTGGAATTTCAGCCACAAACATATCCACCTTCTCGAGAGAAATACCTGCTGGAACCTCAGATTCTTTGCATGTGTGCACTTGTGTGTAAACAGACTGAAGACCCATATGTCCTGAAATACAGAGCCCTTCTCCAAACTTGAATTATACTACCATGCAACCGTCAAGATAAAAACATGTATCTAAATTTCAGCTGCAGACATTCGGTTCGTAGACTACGGTTTTGAAGCAAACTCCTAGGAAGAGCGCCGGGCTTTGAAGAAAATGTGACACAGGGTACATCCCGAGTCTCTTAATTGTCGTTTCCTCGATCCTCGCTTGAACCGGAAGTTGTTCTGCTCCGCCATATTGACGGCCGTCCCAAAGCTCTTATTTAGCTCTGAGGAGCGAGGATTGAGGAGGGATCTCCGAGGAGCCATGAGCGAGGAACCACGAGAACAGACTTCCAGGAAGTGTTTTAACGGCCGACACGCCCCCTCATTGTTCATCAGTCATGTGATTGGACGCTGCAGCCGATCGGACTGACTGACTTTCATACCAGAGTGAAGACAGATCACAAAATAAACTCAAGCTTTATATTTGATTAGGTTTCTGATTCACCATCTGGTTTAAATAAATGTTCATTGTAGTCTGAACAAGAAAAGGACCACAAACAACTTTCTTCATTTACATACATACATACATACATACATACATACATACTGTATATATATATATATATATAAAGATAAAGTTTTAAAGACAAAAACACAGACAACTCTCAGACCGGGAGACGCCGTAGTAGCGGCCTGTCAACCACAAGGTAGCCACTTCCCTAAAGGAGGTTGCCATTTTACACCAGACTTCTTAAACATCATGGATACGTTTTCTAAACAGGGGTAGGGGAATGGTAAAGGGACTGTACTTGTATAGAGCCTTTCTATTCTTCCGACCACTCAAAACACTTCAACACTTCATGTCATCATTCACACCCATTCATACACTGAAGACAGGGCTACCATGTACAGTATAATGCCACCTGCTGATCAGGATCAAACAGCCGAAGAAAACCCGCTCTACTTCTGAGCCACAGCTGTCTTCAGAAAAACAGCTTAAAAAAAAAAGAGCCATGGTTCCAAAATAAGGTCCGTGTTTCTTTGTTCCTACCAGTGGCGGCTGGCCAATAGAGGGCAATGGGGCATGGCCCCACCTTGAGCCACACAAAAAAAAATAAATAAATAAATAAAAAAATTATAATAATCATAAATTATACAAATTGTCAATATTTGTGTTTTTGAACTGTGGAATGTACCCAGTAATATGTGTAAAATGTGATATCTGCGCAAAATATATGCTTTTCCTGCTCGTGCTCTCCGCCTGTGTGCTCGTCTGCTCGTGCTCTCCGCCTGTGTGCACGACACGTCTCAGAACGCGCAGCAAGGGGGGCAAAATCGTTTTTGCCCAAAAGAGGCGGGTCTATGAAGCAGTTTAGCCAATTGCTGATTAAAGACATAAATGAGTGACATACAATTTAGCCAATCAGCGCCCTCAAATAGATTCAGCGTGGGACCAAAAAGATTTTGCCCCCCTAGCTGCGCGTTCTCGTCAGGAGAAGTCTCTACAGGCGAGCGCGAGCACTACTCCAAGTCTCGTTTGAGAGGAGAACTTTGGCGGAGATTCTGCAGGCCAAAGAGCTGATCCCAGATCAGCCTGACCTCACAATCAGACAGCAGACTAGCGGGAAAGGGAAGCAGTACATGCGAAGCTTCTCTACTGTACACCAGACAGGTTCGGCTAGCAAGATGACGTCATGCTAATAACTTATTTAGCTTTTTAAAACAACGGGGACAGATCCAGCACGGACAGTTAGGGAGTGAAGGATGAGGAGGTAAGGAAACATGAGAACACCAGGACACACATGGAGAACTCTGTCAAGCTACATATTAGGCAAAGTGAAGATCTTTTCTTCTACATAGTTGTCCTCAGTCTCATCTGCTTAACTTGGTCATGGAGGCATCAACATGTAATTGAGATGGTAAATTAACAGTGAAAACTCATCATAGCTTAATTTAACATCAGTATTCATAATTACACTTCATGTTTACTTCTCCTGATCTTTACCTCCTATAACAAGGTCCATAGGTCCATCTCAATAAATAAACATGTTCTATTATATTATATTATATTATATAAGTGTTATTTACTGCTTTTTTCATGTTGGAATAAATGTTAAATATTTAACTGCAAAGTAGTAATGCGTGTTTGATACTTTAATTTTTTTTGCATTAAATCATACTGGGATGTTTGCTGAAATTGATAGGATGGACCTACCTAGAAAATTTTCCACCAGCCGCCACTGGTTCCTACATTGAGTCATGGGTTGGGTGCAATTCTCCGTTGGCCTAGTGGAATGGGTCCGACTACGCTCGGCTCCCTCTCCTTTTTTAAAGTAAATTTATGTGGGTCCTCGTGGATCTCTGAAGACCTAACTCAGCATGTGTTGCACTGTGGCCTGGAGCTTAGGAGCCAGGTTGGTAATCTACCCTTGATGATTTGGGACAGAGGATGTTACCTGGGGTCCTGGTGGGATCGGGAGCTCTTTCCTTCCTCCACTCTGCTGCTCAGTGTGGTGTTGAGGTAACGAAGGTCAAACAACAGCTGTAAGGCTCTGTTCTGAGTCATGGGAAACACGCCCTCCTGGATGGAGGAACAGAATCAAACAGAGCAGAGAAACTCAGGAAGCGCATGTGGTTCCTAGTGAATGATAAGAACACTTCACTCCACCATCCTCTTTATACCAGGGGCCATCAAATTTAAACCATATTAGACCAGCACCGATATCTACTTCACAAATATACAGTATGGTTATCCGATTACCTGAAAGCTAAAAAACAAGGTTACCCACTATTTCACTACTTTTGAGGCAAAATAATATGATCTGCAAATGAGGTGAATTTTTTGTACTTAAAGCTTCATTTGCAAAAACCGTGTAAACTCTGTTTCCCTTTTTTCTTTAGTATATGTTACGGGTAGTTTACATCTCTTGGATATTTCATGTTGAGCCGCTATTGGTTGAGCAGCAGCAGCCTTTGGTGTGTTAGTCAGTGTAACACAGGAACCCTTGAGGCTACTGCCAGGAGCTTTCATTTTCTGTTGATTTTCGCGTTGCCACATAAAATCAGATGAAATCATCCAGGTTCACCAGAAACTCCTTCAGCTCAGACTCAAGCGGGGCCTCCAGCAGAGACCAGCCTATCATGGACAGACCCAGATCCTCCAGCAGAGACCAGCCTATCATGGACAGACCCAGATCCTCCAGCAGAGACCAGCCTATCATGGACAGACCCAGATCCGGCTTCACTTCAGCCTTGGACCTGCAGTCGGAGCTCCGGAGGGAGGAGGAGAGCTCAGCTCCCGACGACAGCAGCAGCTGCTCCTCCTCCTCCTCGAGCAGATTTTCTCCTCTCTAGGAGTCAACACCGACACCTCTCTGCTGGAGTCCCAGGCCGTATTGCTGGACCCGCTGGAGGGAAGGGAGGCACGGGAGAACCAGAACCAGGACTGCTGCAGTAAAATGAGAGGCTTTCTAAAGGGACTCTGGTGATCAGAAACACTACCACTTTAGTCCACAGGGAGCGCCAAATCAACACCAAATGAAAGTTCCTTGTAGTAACTTTAAATAGATAACTTAATGTGTGCACTGCAAACAGAAAATAATGTGCTCCCAACAATATAACATGAACCGAGTATAGCGTATGAAATAAAAGCCATGTGTCGTCATTTATGCGTTTGTCAATGTATGTACAATGGTAACGTAATGTGCATGAGGTCAGCAAACTCCAATAAGTGTCCACTGTTATTACCAACATTTAGCTAGGTTGCTTTGCAAAGTAAATATGAGGAAACATCTGCTTAGGAAGATTGTGTGATACGATCATAAGCTCCTTATTTAGTAAACTGCTGATCATGAACATGCTTTCAGAGGTTATAGAATCTGAAGACCAAATCATCTCACTATACCTTAAAGAAGTTTCTCACCTCACAATACAAACGTCCCTCATTTCCATTTTGTGCGCGTGCGTGTGTGCGTGTGCGTGCGTGTGTGTGTGCGCTAGTTACTCTGCTGAAGGACTGCTGTGTGAGGCTGTGGTAGTGGTGCAGGACCTGAGCCAGACAGGTCTGCAGCAGCTCCTGCAGGGTGCGCCGGGGCAGAGCGTGGCCCCCCACCCTGTTCACCTCCACACACAGCTGGAATAGCAGCGACTGCACGAACCAAGATGGCTGTAGAGGAGACAACCTTCACATCAGATCACTGAATGGAATCAGAAATGGTTGTGCTTCCCGAGGTCGTGCTGACTGACCTGGACTGGAAGACGGATTTTGGATGAGACACTGCTCCCCGACTCGGCTTCTTCTTGGATCTCCAGATCCTCCCAGTTTGTTGCTGTTGTAAGGATGGCACCGGCAGACTCAGCATGCAGCGTTGTGGCAAACTTATCCAGCAGAACCTGGAACAACACCACACACAATTCACCATAAGAGCCAGTCTCCTCTTTGCTCTGGTTTGGTCAGCGACTCTTCTAAATATCTGACTCTTAAGCTGCTAAATGCTCCACAATGTTGACCAGCTAGTCTCCGACTGTGTCAGCAGGTAGAGTGCAGTGGGTTTACCGCTGGAAACAGATGCTGCTGCTGGAAATGAAGTTGATAAGAACAGCATTGTGTCCTGTCAAACCAAAACTGTGAGCTAAAGACTCTACAAGCCTCTGTAGAGCTGAGGGAACTACAGAGTTTATAACCGTCTGTGGGTTTGTCACTACAGCAGAAACCTTTCACATTTGATACAATGTTTATAGAATTATGTTGATTAATGCAGTTCTAACTTTTTACTCAATTCCTGAAATCCCAGTTCTACGGTCGCATTATTGTCACATGATGACACCAGAGACATGTTAAGAGATCCAGAAGTGGGTAAGTGGACTTTGAGCATGGATCGTTTTGTCACATATAATGCTGATGTTGTTTACATTTACTAAAACATTAGCCAAAATGTTATAAGGCCATTTAAGTAGACGTCAAATGTTTACAGCTGGTTCTGCTGCCCCAAAGTGAGCAAAATAATCAATGTAGCTTTAAAGTGTTAAAGGAGCTCAAAGGCCTTTTCACATTGTGAAACAAATAATGATGTGAGGTTAAGGCCTTATTTTAGTGGAAAGGCATTTGCTATCAAGCAGACAGCCTTTTGTTGACTGAATTAGAAGTCCACGGAGAATAAGGGTTGGAAAATAGAAAATACAAAAAAGGTGGATAACTACCCTAAATTGAAGCGATGTTTAGAACTTACCCAACATTCTTTTTTACAATTCTAAAGTTTGTGTAAGCTTTTGGAGTTTCAACTGCACTTAAGTCATAACCAACCAATTGAGCTACTACAGCACATCATGTAACCTAAATTTTTACGACCCCCGGCTATCTTAGTCTCTCCTAAGAGTCCTCAACACAAACAGACTTCGTAAAACTTTCAACAAATAAAGTTTCACATAAATACATTGGACAGTGTCTGACTTTGGAGAGGGCAGAGCTCCAGATGCGGTACGCCTCCATGCTGCAAACGAGGAGCTCCTCCTTCAAACATGCCCACTTGGCCTGGGTGGGGCTGACCTCCGTGGTGGCCCTGGCTTTGCCCAGCTTCTTGCCTTGTCTGGGGGTCTCCTTTGCTGTGGCCTCAGAACCCCTCTGTTTTCCCAGGATGCAATGCTTCAGGTTGGGGCAGAGTTCACCCATGGACTGGCACAGCCTGGCCATGAAAAGGACTGAAGTGAGGCAGGCGGGGCTGGGGTCAGGTGAGGCTGAGGCCAGTTCAGAGCGGATGGAAGACAGGATGTGGCGGACACAGCCCACGCAGCCGTCACGTAAAGCGTCCTCCACTGCTGGAGAGTCTGTGAAGCGGTTAAAAGAGGACGCTGACGAGCTCTCGCTGGGACCAGAGGAGGCGACTGTGACTGAGCTGGAGTCAGACCCTACAGAGCACAGCATGAAAGGTGAATATTAGCATTATTCAGGATGTGATAATACTGGCTCTGTGTACTGTATATACTACATGGCTGTACTGAACAAGAGTCTACAGCCATGCTAGCAGCTGTGAGGCTGCACACACACACACACACACACACACACACACACACACACACACAGTGGGGCGTTGCGCAAAATGCTAATGTCAGCATGCTGGCATAATCATAATGTTAATGTTAACATGCTGATGTTTAGCAGGTATAATGTTGACCATTACTATCTTTAGCATGTTGTACTAATCAGCACTAAACACAAAGCCCAGCTGAGGCTGATGGGAATGTGATTCATTTTGCAGGTATTTTGACCCGAGGAGCACCAAAGTTATTAGAATTCATCCTGATAGTACCAATGACAACCCATCCAACCGTTTTTGAGACATTCCCCTCGCAACCAAAAATATCAACCCGCTAGTGACACTGTAGTAAATGTCAGGGGACCATCAAAGTCATTAGAAAACAGTGCTTGTAATTTGTAAATGTCAATCAATCGAGTAAATGTCGAAATATTTCATTGAACATGAGAAAATGATGATCCGCTAGTGACACTGAATTAAAAGTCAGATCAGAGCAACAATAGTTGTTGAAACATACTCAATCAAAACTAAACCAATGTCAACCTCATGGTGGCACTACAGGAAAATGAGTTGAGATTCATCAGGGGACTATAAATGTGTGACAAAACATCACGGCCAGTGACAGTGCTAACCTTAGAGGGTAAAGATACGCAGAGATTCAAAAATTAGGGAGTTAACATATTAGCTATGCTGCACCATCAAACAAGGTTTACAGTAAGCGTAGCATGCATGGAGGGCCAGGTGGGCTGGCTATGTTACCAGTTAACAAGTTACAATAGGCTCTCAACAAACTCTGCAAAGAGTCACAACTTCATCAAGCTTTCAGCACCACCTATATCATGAGAGGGAATGAATTCATGTAGTTATGGCACTTTGTGGTCTGACCCGCTTCTAACAATAGCAAACTGACTGCTTCATTTGCACGAGCTGGTATTTCATTGTTTTGAGCGGCAATGATCATTTCACCTCCCTTTGAGGCTATGAACTGGAAATGTTATTTTTTTCCTCTTTTGCAGATCAGATATGTTTGTCTCTTCGATGCCAGCAAACAATGATGACCTCAGCCTCAGGTTAAATGACAAATCAGCATAATAGGTGTTTAAATACTCAGAACGTGACCACCTCATGGAGTCTAGATTGGGACTGACAGCCCAATCTCTATCCTAAGGAAGACATCTGTCTGAACAATACACTGGCTAAGTTTGAACTGCCATCACCTGTGTCTTGGGAGGGTAGGTAGTACTGCAGGTCCTCCAGCCTGGCCTTTAGCTTAGCATCCAGAGAGGAGCAGAAGTTTTGAACGCAGGGCGTCAGGGCCTGGGTCTTCATGGCCAGGCTACTCCTATGGTGCTGCTGCCCCCGCTGGGTCACACTGACCCACCCTGCATCGCTCAGCAGGTCCCCCGGAGACTCCGACCACAGGAAGGATGCCACATCTACCTCGTACTGGCCCCCGCGGCCTGAGCCAGGGTTGGTAGCTGAAGAAGTATGGATGGTCTGGCCCTCAAGATCCCTCACAGCTGAGGTGAGGAGCTGGACGGAGCTCGTTGAGATGGCTTCAGTTTCTTCTTTGGTGATGGCCTTGGGGAACGGGAGGATGGAATCATTGGCATATTACCATATGTCAAATTTGATCAATTTTGCAAGTCTGTCGCTACTGTAAAATTCAACATGAATCCTTAAGACGTCAATGGAGAGACGTGTTTAGATGCTGAAAACCGCTAAGAGCTATAACAAGTGTGAAGCTAGGAGAGCACTAACCTGCAGGCGCTGAAGGAAGAGTTGCTGCAGGAAGTCATCCCAGACAACCAGGGGGCACTCCAGCAGTCGCTGACACACAGTGCTCCAGTGCTGACTGATGGACTCGGTGGACAGGAGGTCCCATACAGAGTCTCTAATGGCTGCCAACCCCTTCAGGCTCTTCACATAGACCAGAAGGCTGCTAACGCCACGGCAGATGTCCTCCTTACAGCTAAGAGTCAAGGAAAGATTCAAAAGGCATTGATTAGATATCTATAGATTATCAATTATAGTTTGATTAATAAAAGGCTTAAGTCATTTTTTATAAATTCAAAATATTTGACAGCAGTGACCAGTGCTCTGGTCAAGATCACCAATGACAGACTCAGGCCTGTATTCTATTTGATTTCTCCTCGACCTCAGCTCAGCCTTTGACCCAGTGGACCATAATATCTTAATCAGTCGTCTGACAAAGCATGTTGGCATCGGTGAAGTTGCTCTGGATTAGTTCACCTCTCATTTGTCAAACAGGTCTTTCCCTGTAATGCTTAATGCATAATCAACGGCCCGGTAATACCATATAAGGCTACGCGTCCTGCCCCTTATGTCCAGAAGTGGTCATTCATGAAATGGCACAAAAGAATGGAAAGTTTGGAGATTTTAGTCTTGCTTTCGGAGATCCATAAAGGAAAATCTATACTTGCAGAAGAACACTACAGAATTAAGGGACCTGCTAAAGCCACGGAATGGGAAAAGATGCTGTTGCCACTTGAGGGTCATTCTGTCACTGAAATAAAGAAATGAATTGTTCTATACGAAAATGGCTTAAAAAAACCATCTCACCACAGCAAGATCATCTCAGAGCTGGACGAAAGAACAGGTGCCGTAATAAGTGATGTTGCACTGTCAGGCATTGCAACGGAAGATGTTCCCCTGGACAGCGACTGGTATAAACTTTGCATGTGAAGAACCATCCATCTGTCTCTGCCAATATCAGGATGCTGTGTAAAGGCACGCTCTCTTCTAAGGACCTGACGTGCTATGGCATCAAAAAGAAGTAAGTTAGCCATGACCCATCTAGTCATTGGCCTGATCACTGATGACAGTGAGACGGCATACAGACAGGAGTTCAGAGCCCTGACATCTTAATGCCAGAACAACAACCTCCATCTTAACGCCAGCAAAACAAAAGAGCTGATCGTGGACTACAGCAAGTGACAGAGAAGGACACCTCCATCACCATCAATGGGACTACGGTGCAGCGAGTCAGCAGCTTCAGGTTTATCAGGGTTCACATCAATGAGGACCTGACCTGGACCCACCACAGTGACACTATCACAAAGACAGTGAGGCAATGGCTCTTCCTCCGCAGGCTGATGCGGCTCAACATGGACTCCGGGATACTCTGTATCACCGCCCGTATGGCAATTGCGCCACCCTGTAGCAAATGGTGGTGACTTGAATTCTACATCTGTGAAGGAACCCCAGAAACTGAGCTGACAGATTTCTGAGCCACACCCAACATGCTGAAGCCCAGCACACAGCAACCAGATCTGGCAAAAGCTGCCACCACTCCTTTACCACAGCCACATGGGAATGAACCAAGATGTTACCATCCTGCTGCCTGCTGAGAGAGACAGATCGGCTCAAGCCAAGCAACCATGTGTGCATCCAACTCCAGAACTTGAGACTAATTAATTCATCAATTATCCCTTTTTGAAGGGTGGGTAATAGAATTCTGCTATTTTTATTTATTATAAAACTGATTATTGATTTTAATGGCCAAAGTTGACTGCAAACACTTTCATCCATCTTTTGTACCAATTCATGTGTTTACAATGCACATGTTTGGGGCCCTTTGAGCATTATATACAACGGTTACATCATTTGGTATCAATACATGCATTTATGGTCCAGCCCTCAACTGTAAGGCTCTACAGTGGGTGGTGCAAACTGCTTAGCACATCACCAGGCCCATATGCATTGACGACATTGCTGCACAATCCGTTTACTCTGGAGTTTTTACATTTTACTCTTACTCACCTGTCTGCTGTAATAGACAGGTGAGTCATTGTGAAATTGTTATTATTCATTAGAATGATTTCATATTATATTCCTATATTTACTGCTGCAGCACTATTTCATGTCTACCGTTTAAACCTTTAAAATCCTTCAAGCACTCTCTGTGGTTGTGTATTATAATAATTAGACGTGCATGTCAAAGGTTAAGAACACCAGTATCCTGATTGGTTGGTACTTACGTATCGATCCACTGCTGCAGGGTGTCCCGAAGCTGCTCTCTCTGGATTGGCTGAGCCAGAGTGCGAAGGGCTGGCTGGAACTCCGTGATGGAGGGAGGCAGATATTTGAACCAGCTGCCTGTACTCGTCTCTTCCTGCAACACCCTCCTGTCTTTAGCTGAAGAGAGAGATGGGATTGAAGGTGTCACTGTTTCTTTATCATGGATATGTGTGCTTCATAATACATCTGTGTCCGTTGACTTTGGACTTTCTTACTTTATGCTTAATGCTTTTAAGATATACTGCATCGAAAGCCTTTTCTTCAGTCAAATCGGAACATACACGTCATATACATAACGGAAAGAGCTCAGTCTAAATATCCACACATCTGCTTAGAAATCACACAAATTGTATTCATTTTGCCCCATAAACAGGAACTGCTGGTAGCTGATGTAGCATGACCTAACATGATTTGGATTCATAAATATGGCTTGATAAATTGTGGGCTGCTTTTTATTCTATCGCAACATTATACTTTCTGTTTACAGTAGGGAAATCACAAGTGTCCCGACATCCTAGCGGTTTACCTGCGTATGTGGTGGAGGTGACGTTCTCCAGGGTAGAAAAGAGCATGCCATAGCTCAGGGCTCCCTCCCCCGGCCTGGGGCCTCCCTCTGGGGGCAGGTAGAAGACGGCGTAGGCCTGGAACAGAGTGGTGACCAGCAGCTCCACCAGGCTGCACACCTGGGCCTTGATCCCTGCACCTGGACCAAATACACGCTTGTATGAACGGGCACACACTTCTGACCGTCACTTTTGCTTTACTTATACATTTACTAAATATTCATACTGTTAACATTTCCTGCTCTGCTTCACAGTAAAAGCCTTTAAGCAATACTTCTTGCTTCGTGTCTTGTGAATGTGTTATGGCACACTTGGATATTAAAATGCATATATGTTGGCGGGTGTTACAAATGGTAGAATACCGTGCTGTGGTTGGTTGAGAAGCTGATGGATAGAAGCCTTCCGAGCCAGCAAGAAGTCAGCCAGGGCCTGGCGTGGTGAGCTGTCCTCCAGCAGCATGGTGGACACCAGGGCCTCAGCGATGGCCTGGTCCGACACGGCGCGGCCCCGCAGCAAAGACCTGCTGTCCAGGAGAATGGTGGATCTGCAGAAGGACAGACTAGTTACTGACCTATGACCAGGTGGTCACTAACTAGTTGGGTCTACTGCATGTGGATCCACCACTAATTCTTTCACTTCTGAGGCGTGGGATTTTTCCATTAGAATCTCTGACTAAAACATCCAGTACCTGAAGTGTCCCGTGGTGGCTACCTGCCGGACCAAGATGGGGAAGCGGGCCAGGACGGGGCTGTAGTGGCCCCCTGTAGCAACCTGCAGCTGCAGCAAACTGTGCAGGTGGCAACAAAGCAGGTAGAGCTGGGTGGCCTGGAGGTACTGGGACGCCTCCATGGCGCTCCAGATGCGCTCTGGGATCTCCAAGAGGAGCTTGATCTGGGAGGCCATGGTGTAGAACTTCTCCTGCCACTGCCTCTGGCCCTACGACAGGATGACACACACATGCAGCATTTTAGACTTTGGATAACGTGTGTATAGAATTTAAATTGAGAGAGAAAAGGCAAGTGTAAAAGGATAAGAAGTACAAACACCAGACAATGTAGAGATTTACAGTACTATGATCACAGTCAAGAACCATCTTAAACTTCCATTACATATGTCAACAAATGTCATCACAAATATAATGTAATGAGCTCCATATGACAGCAAGAATACACACAGATGTGTTTGGGCAGTTAACAATTGTCCTCAGGTAAATTCGGCATTAAAGTGATCCACCAGCAACACTTCATTTGAATTAAGTTTTGCATTTCTTGTCTGGCTCGGGCAGCTAGCCTCTACCGAGTCAGGGTTCTACACACATAAGCTCCGTGCAGCTCCATGCCGAATCGGTCAGCACGTTTCATTGAGCCGTACTGAGTGTTAATTCATACAATAGTTGGGGGGGAATGTATGCATACAACTCATATGATAATGAATGGCCACAGTTTGACCTGAAGTTTGGTGTTCCTACAACGACAGTACGACTGTAGTGCCGTTAGCGTTCACCTCCTGTCTGCAGCTGCTCGTGCTGGGTGTGCCTTGCTTCAGCTTGTGGCAGTACTGGTGCATGTCCTGGATGGACTGGACGACGCTCTCCGAGCACTGCCTCATCTCTCCGATGGTGTCGGCGGCATCGATCAGGTCCCGGTAGCGCTCCCCCACCATCTGCCTCAGCTCCTCCTTCTTCTGCTCGATCTCCCCACGGACTTTGCCTTCGACTCGGCGGATCTCCGCGGTGTTGTAACGTTCGAAGAGAACCGCCGGGTCCTTGATCTCAGAGACCCGGAGAGACAGTGCAGGATCTTCGGCCATTGCACCTCCAAAACAACTTCAGCTGTTCCAGGAAGTGTCACCCGGAAGACCGGGGGAAGAACCCTTCCTGCCTCCACGTCAGCAAAAATATGACGACGACTTATTGGTCAATTAAGCTGTCCGTCAGGGAACACCTCCGTGTAGCTTAGGGCCGTTGAGCCAATCAAATCGTCCCAACGTGCATCGTGATAATAATAATAATAATAATAAAGGAACGTTGTTATCATAATCATATATGTCAATACAGTTCCCCATGTAAGCTCCACCCTCCACCCGTTAGAACTCCCCAGTTGTCACACACTTGCGCTTGTGTAGTTGCATTTGCTTGATGTCTCCTGAGTCCACTTCCCTCCTAACCTTTCCTCTGCCCTCATATGTTTTAAGACATATAAAATACTTCACTATGAACAATAACTTGTGTCTGAGATGTTTGTTCCACATGCAATTCTTAAAATGACATCCTCCTTTTCTGTCATTGAATAATTCCCAAAATGGAGATTTTTCAAATCTTATATTCAGATGTTAAAGTTGAACAGAGTGCACGGTGAAGCTTAGACATCACCGTGAGGAACAAATCACAGTTTTGTGTGGAAAGGGATTCACAATCAAAAATGAGTGGCTGCTGTTTTATCCTTGATGGTCACATCATACGTAACATGTGGTGGGTTTAAGATGAGATCATGAGGAGTCACATGTTACATGCCTCCACCACGGGCCAACCACAGGGGACTGCTGAGTGAACCTTACAGTAGTGCATTGCTCTACTTTGATTTATGTATGTATTGCCTCAAATGTATACAAGAAAGTACCTAATTATGGATTCAAATAAATGTAAAGTGGTTTGTGACAGAATGCATAAATAGCATGTCATGTGATGTGGAGTATACTGTATGTTGACAAAGTTATGGAAGCCTATTAGAAAATGCTCATGGTCAAATGAGATTAAGTATCAGAATTGTGACTAATTAAGTCAGAAGTTGAGATGAAAGAAATGTTTTGACTTATCTTATAATTTTGACTTTTTATTACATAATTATAAGTAATACAATTCTAATTATGTTAGTAAATCTAAAAATGTGACTTACTATGAGTATTTTATTTGTATCATAACTAACTTCTCATTTAAACTGGAGTCAAATTCCTTGTATGCGTACGCATACATGGCCAAGAAAGCTGATTCTGATTCTGATTTATTGATGATGTTTTCTTTGCGGAAATGATCTCTCACACAAAGTGAAGAGGAGGACAACTGAAGCCTATCAGAAGTGTTGTCTCCATGGTCACTGTGTCTGCTGAGGAAACCCCCACACACTGCAGGACGTGTCTGTTAAAGACACGGTGCATCAGTGTGACTGGCAGGTGAGTCAGGGAGACCTTTGGACCCGGAAGGAAAGGCTGAAATTAGAGACTCCGTTTACAGGTAAGAAATAACATCTAAATAACTCACCAATACTTTTAGACTTATTGTACATTGAAATATTATCCGTTTGATCAAATTCCATCTTGAAAAGCTTCTGGAGAATGAAGTACTGAACGATAACTAATGTCTAATGTGAGTCCGCCTAGTTACCAGTGAACACAACATGCAGTGCATTGCTGTATTGGGGTATAGTAACAAATAAGAGCGTTTACAGTGTATTCTCACTGTGTTATAATAGAGCTGTAGCTTCTAGAGCTATTTAAATAATGCTCAGCATGTATCCTAAGATATCAGGTATGTTAAAACCCTATTTCAATGGGCCTATGGCCACCGGGCTATTGTTTTAAGGCTATTGTTACTGGGAGAATTGTGAACCTTATTCTTTTAATCACACAGAATAAATATTGAGGCACATTCACAAGTCTGTTCCAAAGTGGAATCTCACATTCAGTCTGGTACTGTACTCACAACTCTCGCTACCTATTCCCGTATGATTTCAAATTTGATTGATTTGTTTTTTTCCACTACACAGCCGCTGTCTTTTCCACGTTCAAATAAAGACGCACGTCATTTGAATTGACATCAGTTGCTGTGTTGAGTGCGTCTGAGAGCGATGGAGCACAAAGACCTGCAGCATGAGCTGGAGGATCAGCTCAGCCATGTGGTTTCCAGACTGCAGTCCTTCCAGTCGGACTGGGACATCATTTCTTTTGCAGTCTTCTTCATCTTCATTGGTGAGTGAAGGTGAAAGAAACCGATGTAAGACGTTCAAATGACTTCGAGAAAACAGCATCAGGGTCCATATTCAAACATTTTTTACTGAAGGCAAATGCAAAATATAAAATGAACAGAAAGCCATGAAAAGTTTACCTTTAAACCCCTGGATCATCTCACCACCACCTGATGGCGATTCAAGATGCAAACAGATCATTAGATGCTTGTGTCCATTCATCATCTCTTAAACCAGTCAGATGTCTCAGGGACTTCCGTACAGCAACACAGTGGTGCTCAAATATCCACCGAGATCTCCTGGCATTCAACCATCTCAACAACAAAAAGTCTACATTCACATGTTTCACACCATCAGTGTGCACCTTTTGCTTCTGATCACGTAAATAATAAGAGTTAGAAATGAAGAAAAACATTCTTAGTCACTGCTTTAAAGACAATTAGTTCAATAAGATATTAATGAAGTACTCATTTGATATTAACAGTAAAGACTTAACCTCCCGTAGCTGTGTGAATGTTGCATGAATGGGTGAATGATAACATGTAGTGTTAAAGAGCTTTGAGTGGTCAGAAGACTAGAAAAGAGAGAAACAAGTTCAGTCCGCTTACACTGTTCTGTGAGCTGCTGTTTTTGTACCAGGACAAGCCACTGTGTACTCCACAGTCTCCAGTGTATAAAACACTGACCTCTCCTCTGTCCTTTCTTCATTTGTGCATCTCATTCATTTGACTGTGCTGTGAGTCCGGCTGCAGAAGCTTGAGTTAAACTTGCAGAAAGACAAAAGTTGACTTTGTGCTTTATTTAGCAGAAATTGCCACAAGAAAACCCATAATGCTGAGTTCTTCTGTCTTCCACATCATCACGCTGTACGCTCATTATGACGTCGGCTATCTATTTGCACCCTGCTCATAAAAATCAGCATATGTCAAAAAAACAACAACATATAGTTACTGTTATTTATTCACACGTCCAATTTTTTAAATTGTTTTTAAAGTTCTGATGCAGTTTCAATACTTTTATTAATTAGTATTGTTTTGGCTTACCTAACCCTTTAGCTTTGGCTGTTCAGGTTATATGAAGCATTTGAAGATACTTTGAAGAAATGACATCACAATAAGCTCAAACACCAGAGTTCTTCAGTGTGAATGAATGAGCTCGTAGTTATGGAGAGAAAGGCCGTTTGACTGGATGAAGTCGGCAGAAGACAGAGCTGTTGGACATCATGTGATGACCATATCGTCTGCTTCCTACTTTAGACTTGCCAGTGCAGCATGGTGTCATTTTTTTATTCTAGTAGCAAGCTAGTTTCTGACACTGTCTGAGGCTGTCTTCTGTCTCCAGAGTACTCTCCAGTGGGTCTGGATCCCATGGAAAAAGAACACTTGTTTTTCTTGTACACTTTGGCTTTTCACTTTTGTCTTCATCATTGCCATTCTTATCACTAATGCTAACTGCCCACAGCTTGTCACATACAGCATGCTGAAGCTACTGCATGCTGGACAGAGCTGTCTGCCATAGACACTTATTAGATGTTGGAACCAATCAAATCGACCAAACTCCTCAAATCAAAGTAGTCTGTGTTCCATGAATGTGGGTTTCTCTGCAGATTGAGCTTGATGTGATGGTCCGACTGACAATCACTGAGCACTGAGGATGTGTGCTGTCTGCTCACTGTGTGTTCTCAGGCATGGTTCTACTGCTGGTCATCCTGGTCCTCATCCGCTGCTGCTGCTGCTGCTGTGGTGACGAGAAGGTTAACACACACACACACACACACACACACACACATACAGGAGAGAAGTGAAGTAAAACACACACACACACATAGGAGAGAAGTGAAGGAAAACACACACACACACATATAGGAGAGAAGTGAAGGAAAACACACACACACACACACTCGTAGTGAGGCGCTGACCAGAGAGAATGGGAAGCTGAACACAATGTTACATTTCCAGCTGTACAGACTGATGCTAGGGCACACTGCCTGACTGACAAGTGGGACAGAACAGAGCTCAGAGCAGTCAGCTAGAAAGACATGGAATTCTGTTTATTATGTAGTGTGCTATATTTACCCTCCATTTGTATTTGAATGTCCGTATTCTGAGTGCACATTTATTTGTACATAGCAGTTGAAGTCCATGACTTTTTGCCAACAACCCCTCAATGCCATGTGATGCATTTTATAGATGTGAAAATTACAGTTGTGCAACTGCTCACGGTGGAGTAGACTACTGACTTTGATACAGTTGTATGGGGAGTAGTGAATGAGGGTGTGATTCCAGACACAGCCGTAGGACAAGCCACAAAGAAGCACTACTATTTTAAACATTTCGGCTGAGGTGTTTACCCTGAACATCCACTCATCGTAGTCCTTCTCACCCCCTCTGGGTGGAGGACAGGACGTATTCCTGGCATCCTGAATGCAGACATATAACCACCCTAGAGAGAGATGCTGTAATGTAGTGAAGCAAACTGAATCAGAACTGTGTACTCTGGTAATGACAGAGCTTTGTGCTTCCTCAACAGCCTCGCAGACGGAAGGTGGGCATAGAGAACATGGCTCTGGAGCCCTGACAGCTGAGCTGCACTGCAGTGACGTGAAGGTTGATGAAGCTAGAAGCAGAGCCTTCAGTTGGACTTTGTGCCAAAGCTTTGTTTGGATGTCAGCAGATTTAGTCCACTGACACACAGAATGAATTGTTGTTCACGAGTCCTTTGCTCGTGAAAGTCTATCACGTGATCATTTTTATTGTTACTGCTGTGTGTTGCTAGGATACCACAGACGAATCATGAATGTCACTTCCTCCTATTTAGTTAGTTGAAGGTTTTACTTGGTAATCGTCATATGAAAGTAATAAAAACTTTGCTCCATTTAATGTCTTGGTGTATGCCTTCTCATCATTCCATGTTCATTTATGGAGTGCTCGTCAGACACAAAGACATCAGTAATCATCCGGTCCTTCAGTTGAGGTTTCCATCTTAACATACAGACCACTTTAAAACATCACTTAACTGTTCTGTTCACTCCTGGAGACGAAAGGCCTCCTCGTCATCCACCAGCATGTTTGTGTTACCTCTCGCACACTGCCCTGGAGACATGCAGCCCTTTGCTGTTTTCAGTGTAAAGAATCACTCTGCATCTGCCATGTCCAGCTGGTTTACTCCTCTGTTAATGCCAATAAGAAATGCTGTCGACACATTCAGCACTATTCACAACACATTAATAAAACAGATACTATATGGGTCATCGGGGCAATTCTTCTACTTTTACTTACTAGTTTTATACCTCTGCATGTTCTTTAATATGCGAGGAAAATATATTTCTCTTCAGATACTGAAAACATTTAATGACACATCGTTATTTGTAGCTTCACTGCAGCAAAGGTCAACAGAGACGGCTTATTGTTTTGAATATTTTTATTGTACAGATATCAGATAAATCATTTCCACATTTATATATGCGAGGCAATTTTTGAAAATAGATTAACACTTACTGGAATGAAGTCATTTGTTCAAGATTGGATTAGTGTTTGGTTCACAGGGAATCCAACAACATATGTGCAAAACGTGTGAAATAAATATGAACATAGAGCAGATGAACACATGAAATCAGTAAACCTGACAAGTAGCTTATCATTCAGTCACATCCATGCAGTAACCAGGGAATGTGACTTAAGTCAATTACACCGAATGGAGCAATAAACAACACAAAAGAGAGAAGCAGCCCAGCACAACGTCCACACCAATGCCCCTTCAGGTCACAGCAGAGTTACCAGTTTCCAGCTCAGAACGCTCCGATACGTCAACCTGGCACTTAAAGGGCCAGTGTGTAGGATTTCTGTGCATCTATTACCGGAAATATAATATAATATGCATCACTGTGTATTCTTTATTGTATAATCACCTGAAACTAACAACTGTTGAGTTTCTATTAGCTTAGAATGAGTCCTTCATTTCTATATCGGAAGCTGCAGCTTTAATGGACTTCACCTGTGTGAAGTGTTGGAGGGGAACTCCACAGCTGGTCCGGATCACAGTGTGTCTGGAAGGCCGGACATTGGACCTGGTCCACAAACACTGACGGTACCATCTGTCTCCAACAGGTTAGTGTTAAAAGATCACAGTGGGAAATGTTTTAATACTATGCATCCCCTCACAGCCGAGTCTGTTCCTCCCCTTCATAAGACCTTTTGCCCTCTCTTTGCAATACTGTTGCATTCCGGCTGCTAACAGTGCTAACAGCGCTAAAAACAACGGCAACATTGCCGACAGTGTTAACCTGAGGAGAAACGCTTCCATGTCTGTCGGTCTGGACGGCTTTACCATGTGACCGTCGTATTAGAGCAGTGTAGAGCGGCAGGCGTGAGCTAACCTGTGGGGTACGCTCACGTGCACTAACATGCACTCAAAGCACACAGCCGGCCCGGCTATGTGAACAGAGCAGGAGAAGCTGTGGAGAGACTTCATTCTGTGCTCATTCCTCCTCTACATCTTTACATAGATGACAGCTGTGTGATGATATGTTAATGCTCTGAACACATACAGAGAACCTTTAAAGTATAGTGAGCAATTCTATGGAATTAGTGAAACTGAAACAAATTCCCAGATTAAGGGGGCTGTCTTCTAAACAAAGTGCGTAGTGTCATCTAGGGGGCCATGGCCAGACCCAGTGCTGGACAGCTCCACGAGTACAGCTGGATGTACTGTGAATGCACAGATTAATAGAAGACAGATTACCTTAGAGTGGTCAAATCAAGTCTCATGTAGGTCCAGAAACACCCCACAATGCAACTCAACATCTTTTGTTTGACCCTCCTTCCTAGTAAATGCCCACTTCTTTCAAACGCTACACTTCCAGTTTCTAACAGACATTTGATCTGAAATGAGTGGGCTCCAAACCCAAACTAAGGGCGGAGCAGCCTACGTCGTTTAGTCCAGACTCCAGTCCCCCATGAACACAGCTGTTTACAGGACTCAGTCCGGTCACAAATTCATTCTCAAGCAGTTAATTTATGGTGGGAATGTGAGCCGACCTCAATCTGACTCAACTACAAGACATGCTCTGCAAGTTTGACCTAAAGGGCTCCCGTAGCCAGGAGAGCTTTGCATTCTGGGATGCGTGAAAGCAACTGTTGTTATCAGTTGGCTGGAGATTAAAAGGAAGTCTTTTGGGCAGATACGAGCTTCTTGGACCTTCCTCCTATGTTTACTTTCCGACATATCTAACCAATGAGCAGTGAGGCGTGTCAAATTAGAGGAGTGCCCTTTTGAAGAAAGTACCATTATATTGTAAGGGACTGCAAAAAGATGAAGAAACATTGAAACTACTGTGAGGGAACTCATCGGATAGAAACTGTGACCACTGTGACCTCTTGGTGCTGCTTAGTCCTCCAGCCCTGAGTGGACACTTCGTGCTCCACACAACACCACCGATGATAACCTCATACATTCTCATACTAAATAATCCAAAAATAAATTCTTCTAACAAATCAGCAACAATCACATTCATTCATGGAGGAGTTGAAGTCGGTGCTGTGAGATGCCTGCCACACACACACACACACACACACACACACACACACACACACACACACACACACACACACACACACACACGGGAATATTCATATCTGTTGGGGTTTGATTGGTTCCTTCAGCTAACTATGCAACACTTGAAACTGAATGACGGGATGATAAATACATGTTTAAAACAAATGAAAACCTTCCCAGGATGTCCGTTACACTTGCGTGGTTAGTTTGCTTCTGCCGGTCTCTGGAGGGACAGGAAGTGGATCAGAAAGGTCTGTAGTTCCAGAAACTGGAGAAGACTGATATCTGCATGGATGGGAGGACAGAGAGGCGTAGCTAGCTTTATACACAATCACACATGCAGAGTTAAATGTCTAACAGTAGCCTTCACATAGTCACTGTATCAGCAGCCTGGACACCTGCAGCAGCAGCACAAATCTAACAACTGTGATTGACAGCAACGGTGAGGCTGAGTTAATCGCTTTTCTTTTGGCCACTTAGCAGCTGACCAAGTTGAAATAATATCATCTCATAAAATCACCTTAGAGGTCATAAAGCACCATTCACCATGTATTTAGAGTCATTTGTGTGGAAGTCCAATATTCACTCATCTTTGGTCTCCACCCACCAGGAATCTTTGGTAATATCATAATTAGATTTCATTTAGATTTTTGGTGTCACAATTGAAGGAGAAATAAATTGAAGAAGGCACTATTTTCACTCACTCCAGTGTGTCTCAAACCATTCACTCATATTTTCAGTGCACTGAATTGCAATACAAGAGAACCGTTAGTCGAGTTAACGCGTGTGACTGAACACAAAAAAGCTACTTTTTAATTTAAACAAAGAGCATCAAGAATGAAATGTAATACAGTCTTCTGCCTGACGATAATGAAATGAGTAATTAATTCACTGACGCCCACTAAATGTTGTGGAGTTCTGAAACAAGTACTCTGCAGTGCTGTTAGTAATGTTATCGGTCTATGCTGCTCCCCCGGTCGTCATCTCTGTTCAGACACAGGTCTGTTAGAAGGAAACAAACTAGAGACAGTTATTTTCTTCACCTGATCAGAGGTGGACCCAGGTTTTAAAAGTGAGCAAACAAACAGTTTGAACTGATCTGACCTGCTGCAGTTGAAAGGGACAGCACCTGCTAAACACGAGAAGCTGCTACCCGAAGGTTCCGTACACAGACGGCCAAATTCACAAAGAATGGCAATCAGCCGCTGACCGCACCATGAATTGTGCATCTCTAGGAACTGCTATGTTTTGTTGCCGAGTGCAATTTGCCCCTTTTTTGTTGCGTCTGATTGATTTATACTTTGCCACATGTTGCCTTTGCCCCAAGAACACAGACGGCAGACCTCCAGGTCCTGACTGACGAGGTGCCGAGGCATTCCTCAGAACAGACAGCAAACCTCCTCATGATCCTTTTCTTTTTGTGCACGTTTAGGGACAGAAAAAGCTGCTTAACCCTTTTGAGCAATTGGCCCCGAGAGTAGATCGTTTGCTTATGAAAATATTGATGAGTGCAGCTTTAAGAAGTCGTGTCACTTAAAGATTCATCAAGTGAGAATGAATGCTCAGAGTCATCTTGCAGGACAGACACCCACCTTGTCCTTGAGCTGCTGACAGAGCTGCAGCGAGATGGTGAAGAATACCAGCGTGTCATTGAGCCAAGGCACCACACACTCCACCTTGTGAACGTGGCTCACCTCAAAGCGGTTGTTGTTGAGCTCGCTGAGGAGGAAAGAGTTCCCAGCAAAGACAGATTAAAGGGGTCTGAGAGATACACATGCTACATGTCCTAACAGAGCCCTGCCATCCACAAGTTAGGACTAATAAGTATTTCTTTATTTAAGTATTATCGGTACTTATTGTTTTCTTTGCATTAACTATATATCAATATTTGTATTTATTATTTCCTTAAATCTGTTTATGTATACATCTGAAGGAAGGAAGGGAGGACTTACAACATTGCTCCTGGGTTGTGCAACACTGAGCTTCCAGCTGGCTTGTAATTCTAAGATGAGACAAAACATGTAAACATCAGTCCCATGCTGCTGAGTGAGGCTTCACAACGTGTTGCAGAGCCACAAGGTCTGACCTTCATGGTGTTGGAAGGCAGCACATGAAGCTGGTACACGGTCAGGCACAGTTTGCTTAAGTTAATGTAGAAGTTCACCATCACATCCCCGGGCATGGGAGGAGTGAACATTTTCTGGAGATGGAAGGAGACAGAGAACGGGTCAACAGAGGAATATGGACCCACAGTACGCTTACAGAGAGCACCGACCAGGTCAATGTCAGTACTTACACTACTTGGCCCAAACTATGTGGACACTTATGATGCACCCATATGTGATGGTTGAACATGTGACTGTGACATTATGGGCATTAACCTGTAATAACCTTCTTATTTACAATGGAAACCTGACTGCTCTAATATTATCACTATTATACTATATTCTATTTGTAGAACTAGATTACAGTGGTGGCTGTTGGATTGTTTCATACTCCATAACTCAATAACAGAGCGTTGTAAAGTCCAAAAGTCAAATCCATCAAGACGCCATCATTTTATTTATGTTGATGAAACTGATGACTTATATTGGCTAAAGATAAATGAATCAAAAAAGACTTAACTCATTAGTAAGCCAAATCACTTTTTTTTAAAATTGTGTTTGCAGATTTGTAATGTATGGTGATGACATTAGAAAGTAAGAGGAGGGGGCTGAGCTTTACTTAGATACAAGTAGGGGTCTTCAATAAAAGAAGGTTGTGAACGACCTGTAATGCACCAGAGGATTCACGTCATGTTCACGTACTGATGTGGCTCACACAGATACTGGTCGGATGCAGCTTTATATATTAGAGACTGTTTGAGTGGGATTTTTGAAAGCACTTTCAAAAGAAAAAGGGGAGTTCACATCTATCTGACTTCCTTTATGAGTAGTTCAAAAAGAAGCCATGTGCCGTAATCTAGAGCACCGAGGACGTGATTCATTGAGATGCATCGAGGCCGGTGAAGATTGACACCTCCAGCAAAGAGATACACATTTGATTATTATGTTAAATACTTCAAATAAAAGCATTTAGGTAAAGTTAACAGGCTCTCGTTTTTTACTCTCATCTGTAAAACAAAAGGTAAATAGTAGATGGACTGTACTTGTTTCTCTCTTTTCTAGTCTTCTGACCACTCAAAGCTCTTTAACACTACATGACATCATTCATCCATTGATGACAGGGCTACCATGTTAGGTACCACCTGCCCATCAGGACTAATATCATAAAGATGTTCTCTTCATTGGAACTATGGGCTCCACATACATTTGGCCATATAGTGAATGTCAGAATTCTTCACTAACAGAAATTCTTATCAAATATGTTTGTTTTTGTAACAAGTTTGTTAAAAAATAAGAAATATTGGCCAATAAATTGTTCATCTTTATTATCAAATGTGTATGTGTGTGCGTGTGTATAATGTGTCTCTACCATCAGACCACTGGTGGCCAGCTCAGGCAGCGTCATGGAGGCCGGGGTGGTGAGGCGGTTCCGAGCTCTCGTCAGCTGGAGCATCACTGCATCCATGAGCTACAGCAGTGACAGAAACATGAGGCTAGGATCAGAGACACAGTAGAAGCTGGACCAGGCCATGGTTACCGTCAGGACACAGAGGACACACCTTATTAACCTCAGCCCCCGTCTTGAAGTGGTAGCTCTCGTCATGGCTGCCAAGCAGCTGGAGCGCCTGGTTCACATGGTTCCTGGCATCCTGAATCTGAAGGATGAACGGAAACAAGAGAGAGGTGGAATTGTCAGGATTGGAGTATTAATACAATTTGCATACAATTCATATTTTACATTTAAAGTATATCCAGACGGACCAGACATGAGTTATCAATATTAGTGCTGGGCAACGATTAAAATATTTAATCGTGATTAATTCGCGATTAATTGCATTGTTATGGCAAAGTTCAATAATGAATTCAAAAGTAGTGTACTTTTATTCTAAAAGTACTGCTATATGAACAAAAGGTCAATAACATTTGGTTTGTAAACACATCAGGTTCTTTTTAACAGCAGTATTCCCTTCACACAGTAGCAGTTCTATCTCTTCACTATCTGTGCTCAGTGTGTGACTGTATGTGAAACGTTCCACTGCTGTGCAACATGAATAAAATGTTTCAGCACGTTTCAGCATGTTTCAGCATCTAAATGTGTGTCTTCATGACAGTCAGAGCATGTGAATGCAGCTCTACTGTTCATCAATATAATGCTGTAACTCAGAGGTGATGATGGTTACACAGTGATGTCCAGTAGTCTCCAGTGAGAGTAACAGCTGCTGCACGTTGTAACGCCGTGGCTTTAGTAGTCCTCTCCTTTAATACAACTCGTGTATTCTTCTTGCGATGGTGCGTCTTGAGGCTCATACGTGCCGTCATTCGTTGCGATCCTAAAGGTGCGTTCACACCAAACGCGACGCGAACGCACCTTGAGAACGTTCCTCAGACCGACATCTTCCACAATACTAACCGGCTGCAGTTTGTCTCCACTTGTCTGCAGCATTTGTTAGCTTGTCTTGCTTTAGTTTATCTATACTTTTCCCACACGCTGCCTCAACGTAGTCTGCCGAAGACTTCCTCCACCGCTGCCAGTGCACACACTTTCAAAACAATGTAACAGACTGTCTCACCCAGCCGACGAAACTCTGGAAACGGAGCAGGCAGGTCGACATGGATATCCCTGCTGGCCGACCGTCTGCCGAACAGCCCTGAGCTGGGCTTCAACGGGTCTTCATCTCCAACCCACATCCTGTACTTCAACCAGCGGCGCTTTTCTCTCTGAAGTGCCGCGGAGTTAGCCTGCTAGCTAAACTGAGACAGCTAAGCTAAGCTAAGAAAGTGCACACTCACAGTCGCCGAAGCATAAAATAGTCGTAGCGGTCCGTAGTCGGTGCATAAGAAACACCGCTGCCACCAATGTGACCGAGCATCCTGGGTTCGTGTATGAGGGGCATTTATAAGATGGTAATAAGCGGAGTCGGCAGACCAGGCTTCTCGTTCAGCCCAGGCTTCTCGTTCAGCCCAGGCTTCTCGTTCAGCCCAGGCTTCTCGTTCAGCCCAGGCTTCTCGTTCAGCCCAGGCTTCTCGTTCAGCCCAGGCTTCTTTGTTTATTTCTAAACCCCCCCCCGACCAGAAGCGGAAGTCGCCTTTTCTCTACGGCAACCCTGAAGGGACATATCATCTCCAATACAAAACGATAAACATGAGACAGTCTGTTACAATAATAATAATAAATAAAAAGAATGCGTTAACGCGCGATAACAATTGTCGGCGTTAATTAATGAATGCGTTAACGCGAAATTAACGCGTTAACTTGCCCAGCACTAATCAATATACATGGTGAAAAACACAAAAAGGTTGGGTTAGCTCTCCTATGGAAGGCCAGTGTTGATGTTAGATGATGTTTTGACCAATGTTTAGGAGCTACAGTAGGTATCAGGTTACACCGACACTGACCTTTAAATCCTGACCTCAGCTATGCTGGGTGGCCCAACTAGCCTCCAACAAAATCATCAGCAAACAACAAACATGTTGCCGTCACTGGACAGAAACCTCAACAGCAACATTTGACCTGACAGCTGATGACATCATGAATCTAATGGTTTACAAATGATTTCATTCTTCTTCTTTTATTAACAAAAAACGGTATGACAGACAGAATCAGGTTCAAGCGATGGTGCAGAACTTCTTTGTCTCCCCCCTCTGGCAATGTGAGTAATTCAAGTGTAACTTCATATCAGGTCTGAGCCTCATCGACAAGCATGACTGATGACAGCTAGCTACAGTAGCTAGGAAAGAGATTACACGGTCTCAGTCAACATGTACATTGTAGTGGACAATAAGTCTTATAAGAGAAAACAATTGAGACTACTCTCACAGCATTAAACACTAACATACCTGCTGCAGTTTCCACAGCTTGTCCTCTCTGAACTGAAAATGCAACACTTGGCTGCTCTTTGCAACCTTCAGGTTTATGTCCTGTTAGGAAAAGCAAAACATTACCAAAAAACACATTTAGCTTGAATCAGTGTTTCCTCTTCACATATACAGACTCAATGAGAAGTAGTCAAACTCACGGCCTGAGTCAGAGCCTCTCCCTGCAGAGTCAGCACCCCCTTCACTTGATCCATGCTGCAAATCAACACATCACATTTTGAGTTCAACATCACCAGAGGAGCAATAGGCAAGGGATGGCTTTACAGTGCGTGAGGGAGGGCAACCGATCTGAAGATTACAACGTGGAGGAAACGAGCATTCATTCAGGGACGCAGCATAATTCAGACTATACAGACACTTCCTCCACAGGGAGAAGACATATGGAACAGACAGGACCTATTCATTCTACTGAAGACACGCTATCCATTGTATTTCACTTATGTCCATACTGACTGTACAGCATTAAGAGTTACACTTATAATACAAATGTTCAGAGGTTTACGTTGAGCTGCCGAGGATGAAGTTTTCCTGTTTTTGCTGACTCTCCAGGCCTGGCGTCGGCATGGAGAAACGTCTTGATGCCTCCTGTTGATGGCAGAGAAAACTAACTATTACAATCAAATCTCAATCAGTGTTGTGAAGTCACAGCCCTTGAGGTGACATTGTAGATGCATCGTCTCAGGTGTAAAATTATACAGACTGAATGCTTCTGATCTAAGATTCTACTTCTGGTCTATAATCCAGTTACAGGTGTAAAAAAACACTGAAAATCCACGAGAGCTAGAACTGAGAGAGTCAAAGTCAAAGATCGAAGTCATCCCTTTGTAAGCTGGGGTGTCTGTTATAAATGTAAAGCTCCTCCAGACACACAGATGACTTCATACACATGTTTTCACAGACTAAGTCTTACTAACCGTTACAGGTAAACACATCTCCATGTGTAGAATAGGTGTAGTGGCCCTTTAATGCTGTGACATGTCCCAGCCCGTGTTACAGTGTTTACATGAAAGCTTGACATTTACCTTGAGGACATCCTGGAGCTGCTTTAGAACAGAATGTACTTCTTCTTTCAGCAGCCAGTTGAATTCCTCCTCCTGACAACCGGTCAAAACAAACATTTACCTTCTACACAATAATACAGCGGGCCACCACACTTTCACTTTGAGACGTATTCCTGCGCTGATGGCTATGTTCATACTCGGTGGCGGCTGGTCAATAGAGGGCGCCGCCCCCCCTTGAGCTACAAATAATAATAAAAAAATAATAATAATAAAATAAACTATAGAAATTGTCAATATTTGTGTTTTTGAAATATGGAATCACCCAGTAATATGTGTAAAATATGACATCTACGGTAAATATATGCTTTTCCTGCACGTCCTCTCCGCGTGTGCACGTCTCAGCTGGCTGGGGCGCTGGAGAATCTGCCCAAAAGAGGCGGGTCTATGAAGCAGTTTAGCCAATTGCTGATTAAAGATATAAATGTGTGACATACAATTTAGCCAATCAGCGTCCTCAAATAGATTCAGCTTAATTCTGCCCCAAACTGCGCGTTCTCGTCAGGAGAAGTCTCTACAGGCGCCATTTTAAAGACATGACAATGGCGAGCGAGACGAACACTACTTCTTCAAGACTCAACCCTAACTCGGTAAAATCTCTACTCCAAGACCCGTTTGAGAGGAGAACTTTGGCGGAGAAACTACAGGTAAAGGAGCTGGGCCCAGATCAACCTGCCCAGTGAGCATTTTTCTGTTGAAAAGACGTCTACGCCCAACGTTGAAAAGACGTTCAGAATTGGTTGAAAAGTGAGTTTTTTCACCACCTATTTGTAGACGTTGATTAAACATTCATAAATATAAATATGGAACTATAGACTGTGTGCTGTCAACAAGAAGCTCCCAGTACATGGTAATGAGAGCAGAGTACATTATGTCTGTATGTTCATGTAAAATACGACTGCGTTTACTGCTGGAACACGCATGCGCACGGACTCTGTGCATTTTTCTAAGTTAGAGACGGCTGGAAAGACAGCACGATTTGAGCTAGCTAGCTCTTACTGAGTTGATGAGCGAAGTGAACGAGCTGAAGGAATAAACGAGGCTTCACGCTAACGACATACTCTGTAAGTACTTGAACTACTTCAGCGTCGGAAATACACGAGGGCAAAACTGCCCCTAAGAAATATAATTTTGCCCCTGATATCACTAGGTGAGGGGCAAAAAATGCCCCCATAATTTCCTCTAATAATAATGATAATTTAATGAACTTGTCAAAAACATCGTAGCCTATATCAGTGTTTTTCAACCTTTTCTGAGCCGCGGCACATTTTTTACATTAAAAAGATCCCGTGGCACACCAACAACCAAAAGCGTTACAAAATGACACCTTTTAGCATAATACAGCAGATATGCCAGGGATGTCAAACTCAATCACAGAGAGGGCCAACATAAGAAATTGTGACTACATTGAGGGCCAAATAGAGTCACCATTTAATAAACAGGATAGAAGGGATATTGGACAAAGTGCAAAAAGAATACATGTTTAGCTACATTATTTTATGCATACTGTATGTGCCAGAGCCAGATGTTTAGCATCTTTTCTTGGCTGCCAGTTCATTAATGTCTGAAGTCAGGTTCTGTGTTGTGGAAACCCTCACGAGTGAAGGTGTGCGTCAGTGAGATGACTCCTCTGTGGGTTTTTGTTCATCTTCATCACAGAGAAACGCTGCTCACACAGGTATGTGCTTCCAAACATGCAGAGCGTTTGAGCAGCAGCAACTGGAGGTCTATCAGCTCCACAGGTGCTCTTTCCACGTAAACTGCAAACGGATTGCTGAGCAGTTCAAATTTAAATGTTTGAGCTGCAAAGTCGGTAAATCGCCGAGTGATCTCTCTGCCAAGTGCACCCAGTTTATCAGCAAAATGCGCAGTCAGGAACACAGCTGTGGAGACTTTTACTGCATCACACATGTCTGTGATCACACGTCCCCGTCCCTGAAGCTGGAGGTTTAGCGCAGTGAGATGCTTCGTTATGTCGCACAAAAAGCAGCTCACATCGCCACTTTTCATCCCGGAGCTCTGTGGTGTGGTGGGCCAGTTATGATAAACATGATATTTTCTGGCGGGCTGTTGTACCAAGGGCCGGATATACGCTGACAATTTAATGAAAAGTCTCTCAATGTGTTGATCCTTACTCGGCTTTTCATCTGGGTTATTTTGTCCAGGGCCCAGTTCAGAGTCTACATTTTTCCTTTTCAAATATTTCTCCATTGCTGTTCGTCTCGTCACCGCAACCTCTCCCGCGCGTCATTTCGTTCTACTGTCCTAAATTAACAAGGTCATTATTGCGCTACCTACTGCCACCCACTGGCATGGAAGAGTATTTATTACTTAGCCAGCCACTATATTGCAGCTCAGACGCTCAACAATGGCAAAGTATTTGCAACAACTAAATAATATTTTATTGGACTCATTAAGTGAAATTGGACATTTTCGCACACCTGACGATCTCTCACGGCACACTGGTGTGCCGCGGCACAGCGGTTGAAAATCACTGGCCTATATGACCCGGTCCAGTTGCCATAGAATGGTTTTGATTTTCGCCTTGACTGATGTTGCGTGAAGAACCAAACTTTCTAAACAAATAAATAAATGGAGCGCTTCTTAATCAGACCTGAGACTGCGGTCAACTCAGCAGACACTTAAATGTTAGTGTACCTATATGCTGAAATTCACGGTAAACTCATTCAAACGGCGCAGATCGGGAGCGAGCGAAGGACTTTGAAAGTTAGCGGAAAGATTAACGTGAGACAACATCCGGTTTCTTCAGACGAACATCCGGTTTTCAGAATAAGATGCCACCAAAGTATGAATTATATTCACATTAAGTATAAAACATGCTGCATCTCGTGAGTTAAAGGGAAAATACACCTAAATTGTGCGTAAAGTGTCTTCATTCTTTGATTTGAGGGTTGCTGGAAATGAATAATCCTGACTGACAGTCAATTAAGATATTTTACTAAGTAAAAATTCTGAACTGAATTTGTACCTTCAAATGGCACATTTTGAACAATTTTAAGGTGCTATAAAAATGTTTTTTCTCAAAAATTCCACACAATGACTAATGCATATGTTCAGGGCAAAAATGGGTAATATCACAATATTTGAGGTGCTACAAAATTCTTTCTCAATAATTCCATACAATGACTGATATATGTATATGTAATCAAGGCATCGTTGACTTAATAATTGTTAAGTTGTTTAAAAAATGTAATAACAATAAATAACCACAAAGAAATAAGAATAAAATTGAATATGATTGTCTGTTTGGTTTTTGTTCAAAAAAATCTAAGAAAACACTTTGTATCTGTAGACTACTGCCTAATAGTCTTATTATTGCCATTTGATGACAATTGTTCATATACTGTAAGCCTAAATAAGTATATTTATTGTTTTGAACAAAGGTTAAATGTTATTTCACAAATTTCAAAAAGTGCCCCCAATTTTTTTTAAATGCCCCTGGATTTCAGTCAGTGGGGCAAAAATTGCCCCCTAAAAATATGTAAATTTCCTACCCTGAACTACTTTATTCCAATATTGCAAACCTAAATATCATTACCATACCATTAATATCATGTTATGCTCACCATGCGGCGAGGCTGCTAGCTTATAGCGTTAGCATGTTAGCTTTACTGTTACGAACATAAACATAGACATGTGTGTTAGTTAATGTTGGAGACACTTTCTTTGTGGACTGTCCCTGTAGCCCAACGTTATAAAATAGAGTATGTAAAATACACTACGGACAGCGAGTGGGGCTGTACACAGTTTAAATGTGGAGGACATGAGTAAAACAAAGTAATGTACTAATAAGAACACGGTCAAAACATTGTTGTTTGGCTTATAGCAATATACAAACAATATAAAGTATATACTGTGTAATATCCAGGTCAGCATCATTCCGTTGAAAACACGTTTAAAATACGTCGAAGGTCTCCGGTGAAGAGACCTTCAACACTGGTCTAAAATTCAATATGTTTTTCTAATACTTGTTTTATTTACAGATGTCCAGCTTGAAAATATGGCACATCTCCTGAAACCGGCTCCTGTGTGGCTTTGAAAACGACTTTTAAAGCAGGAAAAAGAGATTATGGTTGTATATAAAGAACATTGTTTATATTTATATTGTGCTTAATAAATAAAAATGAACTGCTACCTGTGTCACTTGGTCTTTTGTCCTGTAAGTGGAAACGGATAATGTGTTACTATGATTAAGTATTTAGTTGCTACATATTGATCTGAGAGCATTTTGATGTTGAAAACACGGTGACATTGAAAACATGCGTTTCCAGCCGTCTCTAACTTAGAAAAAACATAATGTGCTCTGCTCTCATTACCATGTCCTGGGAGCTTCTTGTTGACAGCACACAGTCTATAGTTCCATATTTACGAAGTTTTGTATGAAACATTGAATGCGTTGAAATAACGTCTTCATGTAAACCACATATCACCGGCCAGCATAATATGATTTTGGAGAAATACATTTAATAAAATAACCAAAATCGCGTCTCTTTCAAATACAACTGAACAAACCATCAATATTCTAAAACAAATTGGTGTTTTGTGACACGTTGATATTGTAACCGTAATTTAGCCGGTTGAAAAGACGGTGAAAATAGGTCTAAGACGTTCAGACCCATTTCAACGCGTTTTCAACCAGAAACCAACGTTGAAATCCGCGAGCCCTGTCCACCTGCATTGTAGCGCGCGGATGCTACCGTCCCTCTCGGCTAGCAGCCGCTATGTTACTGACGTCCAGCCAGCTAATTCTTTTAAACTATCAATTACAAATGTCAACACATGTTATATTAACCGACGGACGGCTCGGCCAGTGTAGCAGCTAGCCACAGAGCCAAACAGCGCAGTGTTTCCCCCGCAGTGTAGCTCACCAACACGGCTCTCTCCACTTGACTGGCAGCGGACATCCTGGGCAGCTCGGACAGAGATCTCTGCGTGTTGAGCATGTTGTGCAGAACACGGACACAAACACACGAATAACGCCTTAAAAACACGGTCCTCTCTTTGGGATGAAGGTCTCTCAATACCTAACGTCACTGGATTAGCGGCGGTTCTGTTGCCTTCACGAGCTGTCGGAAATAACCAAGCGCTCACATGAACGACCCATATCAACAGCAGATACAAAGGTAAAAACGACCCTTTGGATCAAAATACATGGACAATTGAAGGGACTGGGATCTCATAAGCATCACGTTATGTATTTACACCTGTGTATGGTTTCTGCTGTTCATGCTTCCACTGTGGCAAAGAACAGGTGCGTGCTCCATGTCATATGAAGAATCATCCAAAAACAAATGCATGAATGCTAACTGATGCCTTTAGTTATCAATTTCGACCAAACCAATGACTGTATTGTGCTCTTTACGAGAACCTCATGAATGCAGCATTATGCTGGTCACACGTTCACGATCAAACTGGCCCCACCCACTAGTCCTTATTTGGGAATACAACTTCCGCCCAGCGTCACACGAACAGATGGTATTATGCAGCGTTCAAGTGACATGGAAAATGTTAAAACACATTATTCCCACCTAAGCAGTTGGGAGTTTGGCCAAATCCCAATGTCCCCCCTTACGGACTCACGGACTTTGAGGCGCGCTCCCGCGAAGTCCGTGAGGGTTTAGGGCTGTCCCACTGTCACATCATCGAGTGTTTGAGTCTCTCGCAGACATTTTGAGCCCTTTATGAACCCTTTCCGTAAATCAGCATGGTATGCTGACTTAGCCTAAGGGAATTACCCACAAATCATTGCAATGTGACGTTAAACACGGGGTAACCAGTGGACGCATGGAGACGTAAATAAAAAGGTAAACAAAGAGGACGGATCACTGTGTTCAGCCTGTCATATTAAATTTACTCAGAAACATTAAGGGTTAAAGATGGAACAAAAAATAAACATGAAATCAGAAGATATTTATTTATTTATCAAATATTTGATTTTGTCATTGAAGCTGTTTTGACAAAAACGAGTAAATAGATTATATGAATTACCTCTCATCTTGTGAGGAAAGAGCCTGAAGACGTTCAAATCAGGGAGTACAAAGTATAAAATAAATACCCACAATTACACATCATATGTTTTGTCGTTTTCATGGTAACTTGATATGTTGCAGCAAAGTGCTGTCCCATTCCTATTCACACCATCTCAAGCCCTCACAGTCTCTCACACTCAACCACTCACCAGGTGACGTCAGTAAGCCCTTGAGGGTTCAGGGTTTGAGGGTTTAGGGGGGACATTGGGATTTGGCCTTTGTCTTCCCCTTTCAGCACACCCACTGGCATGCCTCACAACTGAGCCGACAAAGACTTCTATCGTGGGTATTAGGGCTTAGAACATATTATATACCCCCCCCCACACCATCCTGCTGCTGCGTATACCCACGACAGCACATGTAGATTCATCTGCTGCCAATACTAGTCCCTGACAAATGCACTATTTCCTCCTATAACATTTAGAAATACAGATACCAGCTCCAGCTGTCCCGCTTTTTTTGGAATTACTGAGACTTTTTAAAATTTGAAGTTATATATTTGTGACTTTTAAAAAAATAAGTGTTTAGAATCCAATGTTTGGGCCACAGACGAGGTAGGAAAGTAAAAATAAAAATATTGAGACGCACATTGTTGGTTTTGAGGCAAATAGTATAATCGTAAAAAACAGTCCAAATAACATTAATGGAACAAGATGGTAGATGGACATTTATGTCCCTTTTCTAGTTTAGTGGACAAAGCACGTCAGTTTGCTCCTCATTCACACACACTGATGGTAACAGAGCTGCCATGCCAGATGCAGGCCTGCCCATCAGGGCCAACCTGGGGTTCAGTGCCTTGCTCAAGGACACGTCGACATGCAGACAGGAGCAGCCAGGGATTGAAGCTCCAACCTTGTGATGAGTAGTCGACCCGCTCCACCTTCAGAGCTACAGATAACACTGGATGAGATTACACATGACTCGCCAGTAATTAGGAGAGGGTTTATTAAACAGCACAAAAGTCTTGATACTTCCACATGTACACAAAAATCATAAATATCCCCCAAAACAAAGCTCCACCCTCCTTCCTTTAACAGGATCAAAGTCATTATTTCAATGCGATAGTAAGCCAGAATATATAAACCACACATTAATAAACCATTTACACTTGAACTAAACAATCTACAGTATAAAGACACAAAGATGTTAGTCCCTCTGTAGAGTCAAAACCAAAAGCAGTAGTTTCCATTATTCCTGGTTATTTTAGGTAGAAAAGAAACCCTATGCAAACTAAATGTGCTATTTACATCCGTCTTCTAAAAACTCTTCTTTACACGACCGTGTGTAAGGGGCGCCGAAATCAAAAACCTTTATCATTTGTTTGGCAAACTAAAAATCTTTCACAATGGGACGCTGGATTCTGGACATGAAACAAATGTATTCATATACAGTTTAAACTGATAAAAACCACCATGAGAATCAATGAGAATTTGAAATGGAGCACTGTGCTGCTTCCTGTCACACTGTAGTGGAGGACAGAATGCTGGCGTCTCACTCGGTCATGTCCCAGGTGGACTACTGATGTGCTCCTTCTAATGACGATATAGATGTGCTGTAATATTTGACCACGTCTGCACGTACTTCCTCACCATGTGGAACAGATAAGACCCCCAAAATAATACCCACATCCTTCTTGCACTAAGGAGTTGTAAGATTGGTCATATCTAAAAGGAAATGAACACAACATAAAACCCAAAACGTACTCTACAAATAAGCTAACACAGAAGCCTTGAGCTATGACTTCACACGTGGTGTTTGATCTGTTTCCAGTGGTGGAATGAAGACTCAACAGATTAAAGCGGTCCTCTTCTATCACAACTCAGACAGCTATAAGAATTCTGCACTTTCACCTTCTCCAATATACGACACCTCTGGTTGAGTATGCACAACCGTGCCAATGTTATGTTGCATATGTTGGACATTGTCATTTGCATCTGCATCCTTATGTAGGGTATGAGAGACTACGTAGTAGAGGTCTTCACAGAAAACTACCCTACCCTAACATGCACAGACTCGTTTTGAGAGACACCCACTGTTATGGACTAAATGATAATTAGGCCTGATTCAGAAGAAACATGCAGAAAATAAAAGAAAAAGAGCATTCAATAGATGCCACTGTTCATGTCCTTCACATTTACTAAGAATGATATAGCAGAATGGAGTCTGCTCCGATCCATGTGGATATTAGACATGCTGGCTCACAGACCCGAGACCTGCAGTAACAGAACTGGACCCAGTCTGACCAGATTAGACATTATCTGGACCCAGTAGAGCTCAACCCGTTACTGAATTCTTGAGGCAGGTACTGATATTTGAGCATTTCAAAAGTTACAAATGTTATTAGAAAATTCCGCTAATATCTTCTGAACAAAATACATGTTTTTTCAACAACAATCCTTTAAATGAGTTTATTGGAGCATTGTGTTGGGTATACTAGTGAGTGGGACATTTTACAGTGTACAAACCAACTCAATGTAAGGACACGATCTCTACGTGACCTGAAACGTATGGTTGGTCTTTAGTATCCGTTAGGCATCAGCACATGTACACAATGACCTTATAGAGGTTTATGTGGCCAACTTATCGGTCAGCTTTACTCAAGAGTGAACTTGTGAAGACCTCTACTTCAGAGTGAACATCAGCCCAGCATGTGACCACCTGCTGTAAAAAATAAATAAGACAGAGTCCATGTTGACATTTACTTAATTTCCATATTTACCCAAACAGTTTAACTGTAGGGAGGTGTGTGTGTGTTAGGGTTAGAGTGATGCAACAGTGCATCAATAATTACATTCCAACTAAAGCCAGCTACTGACTGTGGAGCTCAAGAGGTTGTATTTATTCTACAAGTTCAGTTTCAGTCTTGTTAGGGAATGAACCTGTCCAGAGCCACTACCTCACCTGCAGCTCTTTCATTAGCTTGGTTTCTAATCGTGTCTTATGATGGTCTACACCCTAACTACCAGGTAAAAACACCACTGATGTTAGGGTTAGAATTATGAAGTTCAGTTCAAATGGAACTCAAAAAGTGGATTCATCTAAGTTTAGAGATATATAGTTTTTTTTAAAGTGTAAATGAGAACTCTTCCAAACACAAGAACGAAGAGTTTCAAATGTGTAAATCTCAAGCCTTGATGTGAACTATCAATTATTACTGCATTTTAAGGCCTCAACACATCTGTTGCTCTGTCTTTAACCTATTCAAGAAAAATTAATAACGCAAAAGCATAAATCATCTTGTCAAATAAAGCAACAAGCCATGGCCAAACTGCAGCAAGAAGACCTAGAAAGAAACACAAATAAATACTGGGATTGAGACTTCAGGGGTTACAATATTAAGGCAATGCAGTGGCATGTTCTTTTCTCTCATGGAATTCTGGACATTTTAAAAGAAAAGCAAAGATCACACTCAATTGAATATACTCATTTGCACATGAACAACAAAAAATATTTTGGGTTTATGCATCCACAAAAGCGGACAGCATTTTCTCTGGCTTGAGCTGGACACCCTGCTGTTCACAGTGGCTGTGGACCCCTCAGCCTCGCTCTGCATCTCTTCCACCATATTTCAGTTGTCAGAAACCAAACTGCAGTAGTACAACCTCATCTGGAGCACAGCATCTATCCCCAGTACAGTCAGTGCAATGCTCACAGTTGCCTCTAACAAAGGAATAACAACCCCATGACTTGTGGGCAGCTGAAATGAAAAGTGGCAAAATGAAGAAAAAAAAAACAAACACTGGAATTTAAAATAAAATTTTAAAAACTCATTACATGACAAGGGAGAAATAAGAAGGGATTAAAGACTGTGTGGTCCGGAGGATGGGTCCCACCTCGCTCTAGTGAATGTAGGCCCTGTAGACTGCAGAGATATCATTGTCTGACTGGTCCAGTGCCTTAGCCCTCTTGTACACCTGCAAAGTAACAGCACAACAGTTTCAGTTGTAATGCACATGCTTCACTCCTCTTGTTACTGTAAATAGTAAATGGACTGTACTTGTTTCTCTCTTTTCTGGTCTTCTGACCACTCAAAGCTCTTTAACTCTACATGTCATCATTCACCCATTCATACACTGATGACAGGGCTACCATGTAAGGTACCACCTGCCCATCAGGACTATAACAGTCACACACTGATTGGGGTTAAGTGTCTTGACCAAGGACACATTGACATGGACTGGAAGGGCCGGGGAGCGACCCGCTCTACCACTGAGCCACAGTCGTCCCATTTTAGCATTCATTCATTTATTGTTAGCAATGATTCAGCATTACTGCAGGTGCATGAAAGACATTCTCAATGAGGTAAACAAGGCATCTCTTGTACACTGATAAAACACAATGGCTGGAATGGAAAAAACCCACTTCTCGACCTTCAATGGGGAAACATTGTTCATTACACCCCATCATACTGTTAACATCTTTAAAAAAGGACAAACGTCTTCGTGCACCAGTTTCCTCTAGACAGCCTGATAATGTAACATCATGATGAATTCTGCATTCTCAGAACTACCAGTTAACACTTGGCAGAATACCTGGTGTTGGAGCTATTTATTTGATATTGTATTTTGTTATTTCATTTATAAGTAGTATTGTTTAATTATTGTAGATGTTTAATATATTAAGATTATTTTTTCTCTTTAATAGTAATTTGTTTAGATATATTGTTTTTTGGGTAATTACTGTGGACACCTGTTGCTTGATTATATATATACACACATATATACACACACATACATACATATATACATATACATACATATATACATATACACACAGTGGGTACGCAAAGTATTCAGACCCCTTTCAATTTTTTACTCTGTTTCATTGCAGCCATTTGCTAAAATCAAAAAAGTTTTTCTTTTTTAATAAATTTGCAAAAATTTCTACATTTCTGTTTTTTTCGGTCAAGATGGGGTGCTGAGTGTACATTAATGAGAAATAAAATGAACTTTTTTGATTTTAGCAAATGGCTACAATGAAACAAAGAGTGAAAAATTTAAAGGGGTCTGAATACTTTCCATACCCACTGTATGTATGTATAGATAGATAGATGGATGTATAGATGTATAGATAGATGGATGTATAGATGTATAGATAGATGGATAGATGTATAGATGTATAGATAGATGGATGTATAGATGTATAGATCTATAGATAGATAGATGGATGTATAGATGTATAGATGTATAGATAGATGTATAGAGCATGCACCGGGGTGGGCATATAGTTTTTACCAGGACAGGACAGGAGAGACAGCACTTTTCTTCGTTCTTTTTGTTAGTTAGTTTGTTTTGTTTGCTTTATTTAATAAATACAAAAATCAGAATCCTGCTTCGACAATCCACTCTTCTGGCTGCGTAAAAATACCGACCACGGTGCATCAGTGGCTTTGATTATGGTTTGTTTAATTTTGATTTTAGTCGACAAAAACTACACCTGGATTCAAATATTCTCTCCTCATGGCAAAGAGTACAACCATTCAGACGCAGCTTCTGATGTTTAGCCTGTGCTGTCACTTCTGCCAGTTAAAACAAAAAACATCCCTGGAGACGGTAGATCAGCACCACACTAACATGTCTGGTTGAAGTGCTCTCTGCAGCTGGTGTCTGTATTCACACAACCATTGTTTGTGAGTGACCATTCTTATAAGAGATGATCCACTGATCACCTCCCATGCATCATTTGAGGAATCAGATCAGCAGCTGGTGGCGTACAGGAGGCTGCAGGTGTTCACTGACTGTATCAGATACGTTTTATTCATATTTCCTACATTATACTGCTCATCTCAATTTCATGTTGGAGCTACAAAAGACTGAGTTGAACATTTGAATATTCTATCTAGGTAAACCCTATATGATTGGATAAGGGATTCTGATTCAGTGGATATAAAGGTTGGGAGATAATCGTTTGGATTGTTTTATAGGATACATAAAAACTAAATGTTCACTGTCGTGGCTCAAACTACTCATGCTGCACATTCCACTGAAGGAAGACATCTATTATAAGCCCTTTGTAAACTCTGTCTTTAAAGGTGATATATAAATAAAGTTATTATTAATCATTTTCTACAAACTACATTTCCAAACGTGTGACACAAAGCCTATTGAAAGGCACAGGTTTTAATAGCCAGTCAGATGGTGTGCGTGTGTGTCTGAGTCCTTAGCCTTGCCACAATAGGGGGAAAGTGATCGGATTTATTACAACGACAGCATGGTGCTGAAGTAAAGACTAAAAGAGGACATTAAGCTGTTTGCCATTTCAGACCTCTGTGAAGATCAACACACATGTTCTGTTCTACTGATGAATGATGCACTTAGCAGGCAAGTCAGCCTAATGTTCGATTAGTGGTGGTTTGGGCCATGAAGCTCCTAAAGACGCTGATGTTAACTAATGGATCCATTGGATTTCTATGGCAGCATGTGGAATGTACTCATGCGTACCAAGAGCCAGGCAGTACTTTGATCACAGTTCACAGTAAAAAAAGGTTTTCAGTACAAAAGTAACAATCCTGAATTGTACCTCATTGGCCGCTGCAGCCATTGGGGTTGGATGGTTGGCCATGTCGCCCATGGAGATGGCCAGCCTCAGGTCCTTCTGAATATGTTTCAAATAGTAGTCTGGCTTAAAGTTGCCCTGTAAAATATCTGGACGAGGCAGGAAGAAAGGTTTGTATTAGCCTTCACACATATACTACATTTGTGTTTGAAACTGACTGACTCAAAACTTGACCATGTAAGATTGAGAGAAATGACGAAAGACAACTAGTGAGCACGGTCCAGGTAAGTGGAAGGATGTCTTCAAACACCGACTTACTTTGGCATTTCTGGTCCACAAAGGTGCTTGCCATCTGGCCCTGGCACAGGATGTCCAGGAAGGTCTGCTGTGATTGGCCTGTGGCCTGGGCCAGGGTCAGCCCCTCTGCAATGGTGGCCATGAAGCTGCCCTGCACCATGTTGAGGATCAGCATCATCCTTGCTGCATTGCCTGCTTCCCCTGAAAACACATACGGACGCATTTGTAGACACATAAGCAACACTCTCCATTGACAGTCATCCTCAGTGTCCATGTCTAATTCAAATTTGCCTTTTTCTCATGCTGGGTCACCACAGAGCAGAGAACTTACAGTTGAAGTTCTAACAATAAATGACACCATTTGATGCCATCTGGCAGCTCAAGTATCCTTAAACAGAAACCAGAGGGGAGACTCAAATCTGACATGGCAAATTCTGTCAAAGTCATTCACTGGCAAGACACTGGAGAGTTTCACCTACACCATTCAAAGGTGTACAATCTACCCCAGAGGTAGCCAACACGGTGCCCGCGGGCACCTGGTCGCCCGCAGGGACCATGTGAGTCGCCCGCAAGGCATGTTCTAAAAATAGCACTAGGTCCCCATGGAGCTCCGTCTAAAAATTGTAGTTTCTGTTCTTTTTTAATCAAAAATGCTTGCATTCATGTAGATTTTAAAAGGAAGAGGCCGCCGCACTGCACTAGGTTTTCAGGTTTCGAATAGCGGGCGCTTCCCGTTGGCACCGGACGCGCCGCCGCCACGAGCTTACCCCGTCGTCAGGTCCGTCAGTCCTCGGAACAGGCCGCGGGGCAACAACTCGTGGGTGGCGGGGGTAGAGGCAAGGCAATGCAGTACGATCGAAAATGCCCAGACTAGAGGTTTGAACGCAGGCGACCAAAGACGCTCGTGTGCCTCGGAGGGTTGGATCCCCCCCCCCGGCTATAGACAAGACTTTTTACTAGTTTCTTCGTGGATAAAAAGGTACCCAGAAAAAAAGCTGGTGTCGGTGACTACAGACTACAGGCCGGCATGCAGGCTTCATTGCGCAATGCAAAGTTGACCCAGACTTCCCAAAATGTGGTGATTAGTACTAATGTAATAGGATTCATTTAAACATGTGAAAGAGTTGATTTTTTTTTTTATCTTACATAACTGATAATTTGTATAAACATGGGACGGAGTTCATGATTTGTTCAAACATGTTACAAAGGTAGTGGTACAAACGAGACATGATTTGAAGATATGACAGTTAATGATTTCCTAAAAAATGTTAGAAGTGATAATTTGTACAAAAATATAACAGGTGTGATTTTGAACAAAATACACAATCATTGTTAATTATTGTGAGGAATAATTAACATTGACATGTGATCAGACAGTCTCTTCACATATATTATTATTATTAAAAGGTGATCTGTGCAACTTTGATATTCAGGAAGTTTGTATCAAATAAGTAGCCCTTCGTACTGCTCAGTACCCTTGAAGTAGCTCAGTTTCAAAAAGGTTGGTGACCCCTGATCTACCCCATTACCTTAAACAATCAGTTTGAATCACTGATTTGTTTTCTTGCAGAGAGTTAAAGAAGATCTGAAGCCAGCAGCTGGTTAGCTTAGCTTAGCACAAAGTCAGGAAACGGGTAGTGTCAGCTAGCCTGGCTCCGTCGACTGGAACAAAATGCACCACTAAAAACATCTCACAACATTACCGTCTCATGTGTTTAATCGCTACAGAAAACAAAGTGTAAAAATGAAAATTCACCATTTCACAGAAGGGAGTGAGCGAAGCCATTTCTTGGCAGAGATCAGTAACTACCTGGAGTCTCGGCTGGTTGCCTGGCAACACCACAGAGCCAAGAAATAGCTAAGAAGTCATTCAAGTTAATCTTTGATAGAACTATTGTGAGTGTATCTAACAGTGCACCGTGACCCCTACGTACCCAGGAAGAAGGAGGTCTTGCCCATGGCCTGGAAGCAGCTGCTGCAATCCTCGTAGACCGTCCTGTCGCCAGCTGCCAGGATGACCAGCATCCCATCGTTTGAGAGCTGCTGGCTTCCTGCCACCGGGGCCTCCAGGAAACGGCCGCCTCGTGATGTGATCACCTGACATTCAAACATGGAGTAACAATTTAATACAGCACTATTTATCCATCCATCCATCCATTTTCCTCCGCTTATCGGGGGTCGGGTCGCGGTGGCAACAGGCCAAGCAGGCTGACCCGGACTTCCCTCTCACCGGCAACATGTTCCAGCTCATTCTGGGGGATCCCGAGGCATTCCCAGGCCAGCTGGGAGATGTAATCCCTCCAGCGTGTTCTGGGTCTTCCCCGGGGTCTCTTCCCAGTTGGACGTGCCTGGAAAACCTCCAGTGGGAGGCGTCCAGGAAGCATCCTAATTAGATGCCCGAACCACCTCAGCTGACTCCTTTCGACGCGAAGGAGTAGCGGCTCGACTCCAAGCTCCCTCCTGATGACCGAGCTCCTTACCCTATCTCTAAGGCTGAGCCCGGCCACCCTACGGAGGAAGCTCATTTCGGCCGCTTGTAGCCGCGACCTTGTCCTTTCGGTCACGACCCAGAGTTTGTGACCATAGGTGAGGGTAGGAACGTAGACCGAGTAGTAAATTGAGAGCTTTGCCTTCCGGCTCAGCTCCCTCTTCACCAAGACGGTCCGGTGCAGCACCTTCTTTACTGCTGCAGCCGCACCGATCCGTCTGTCGATCTCCCGCTCCATCTTACCCTCACTCGTGAACAAGACCATGAGATACTTAAACTCCTTCGCTTGAGGTAGGCACTCCGTCCCCACCTGGAGGGAGCAATCCACCGGTTTCCGGCAGAGCACCATGGCCTCAGATTTGGAGGTGCTAACTCTCATCCCTGCCGCTTCACACTCGGCTGCAAACCGCCCCAGTGAATGCTGGAGGTCACGATTGCGAGGGTAAAGAGCTGGTCCACTGTTCCACGGCCGGGACGGAATCCGCATTGCTCCTCTTGAATCTGAGGTTCGACAAACGGTCGGAGCCTCCTTTCCAGCACCCTGGCATAAGCCTTCCCCGGGATGCTGAGTAGTGCGATACCCTGGTAATTCGAGCACACTCTCCGGTCCCCCTTTTTGAAAATGGGAACCACCACCCCGGTCTGCCAGTCCATGGGCACTGATCCCGACCCGCATGCGACATTGAAGAGGCCTGTCAGCCAGGACAGCCCAACTATGTCCAGCGCTTTCAGCATCTCAGGGCGGATCTCATCCACCCCCAGCGCCTTGACACCTTGGAGCTTTTTGACTACCTCAGCGGCCTCTGCCAGGGATATGGGTGAGCCTCCCCCTAGATCTTCAGGCACTGCCTCCTCTGCAGAGGACATGTTGGTCGGGTTTAGGAGTTCCTCAAAGTGCTCTTTCCACCGCCCGACAATGTCCCCTGTCCGGGTCAGCAGTCCCCCCCCCCCCCTGCTGAGAACAGCCTGGGGTAAGCCCTGCTTTCCCTTCCTGAGCCGTCGGATGGTTTGCCAGAACCTCCTTGAGGCCAACCGAAAGTCCTTCTCCATGGCCTCCCCGAACTCCTCCCATGCCCGAGTTTTAGCACTCGCGACCACCGCAGCTGCAGCCCTTCTGGCCTGCCGGTACCTGTCAGCTGCTTCGGGAGACCCCTGGGCCAACCAGGCCTTGAAGGTCTCCTTCAGCTTGACGGCTTCCCTCACTTCCGGTGTCCACCACCGGGTTCTCGGGTTGCCGCCACGACAGGCACCGATGACCTTCCGGCCACAGCTCCTAGCGGCCGCATCCACAATAGAGGCTTTGAACATGGTCCATTCGGATTCCATGTCCCCAACCTCCCTCGGGATGTGTGAGAAGTTCTTCCGGAGGTGGGAGTTAAAGACCTCCCCGACAGGGTCCTCCGCCAGACGTTCCCAGTTCACCCTCACTACACGTTTGGGCTTGCCGGGTCTTTCCAACCGGTTCCCCTGCCATCTGATCCAACTCACCACCAGGTGGTGATCAGTTGACAGCTCTGCTCCTCTCTTCACCCGAGTGTCCAAGACATACGGCCGCAAATCAAATGATACGATTACAAAGTCGATCATTGATCTCTGGCCTAAGGTGTTCTGGTACCAGGTACACTTATGAGCCACCTTATGTTCGAACATGGTGTTCGTTATGGCCAAACCATGGCACGCACAGAAGTCCAATAACAAAACACCATTCGGGTTAAGATCGGGCAAGCCGTTCCTCCCAATCACCCCCCGCCAGGTTTCTCCGTCATTGCCCACGTGAGCGTTGAAGTCCCCCAGGAGAACTATGGAGTCGGTAGGCGGCGCCCTTTCCAGGACCCCTCCCACCGACTCCAAGAAGGCCGGATACTCTGAACTGCTGTTTGGTGCATAAGCACAAACCACAGTCGGAGCCTTGCTCCCCGCAACCCGTAGGCTCCCCTCTCGTTCTCCGGGGAGAACTCCAACAGAGCGGCGCTCAGCCGGGGGCTCGTGAGTATCCCCACTCCCGCCCGGCGCCTCTCACCCTGGGCAACTCCGGAAAAGGACAAAGACCAACCCCTCTCCAGGAGCTTGGTTCCAGAGCCAGCGCTGTGTGTGGAGGTGAGTCCAACTATATCTAGCTGGTACCGCTCCACCTCCTGCACCAGCTCTGGCTCTTTCCCCGCTAGCGAGGTGACGTTCCACGTCCCTAGAGCTAGTCTATGCTGCCGGCGATCGGCTCGCCCAGGCCTCCCGCCTGACCCGCCGCCCGGTCTGCATTGCACCCGACCCCGATGCTTATCCCTGCGGGTGGTGGGTCCACAGGGTGGCTGCTCCATGCTGTTTATTCAGGCTGAGCCCGACCGGGCCCCATGGGCGAAGGCTCGGCCACCAGACGCTCGCCGACGAGCTCCCCTCCTGGGTCTGGCTCCGGGAGGGTGCCCCGGTTTCCCTGGTCCGAGCGAGGTGACTGAAGTCCGTGGGCTGCTTTTCATTGGGGTCGTTTTGAACCACTCTTAGTCTGGGCTCTCCCCTGAGACCTGTTTGCCTTGGGAGACCCTACCAGGGGCTAATGCCCCGGACAACATAGCTCCCAGGATCACTGAGCCACTCAAACTCCACCACGTTAAGGTGGCGATTCGCGGAGGAACTGAGCACTGTTTATAGTACTCCAATAAAGGTAGCCGCTACTACTGTATATATGTCAGATGGAGAAAAGCCACAATCACTTTGAAGGTTTAGGAGCATTCCTGATGGTAAAAAGCTAGGAAACCATGCCCATTTCAATAGTGCATGATTCTTTACGGTGTACTTAATATAAGATAGGACTTTACAAGGACTGTGGCTGCTCTGGTGTGTAGGTGTGTTGTGTTACGTTTACCTTGGAGAGTTCTGTGATGGTCTCGGGGTCGACAGTGGACATCTCTACGTAGCATTTGCCTGGCCTGATTCCCTGCAGCACTCCACTGGCCCCCAAAACCAACTAGAGAGCCACAAAGACAAGTGCGTTTTCTACCAATGAGCTAGTGACTCTCACATCCACAGGGAGCCATTAACTGGAGCTAGTACTCACATCCCTGGCAGCTTTTGGGTCAGAGACACAGGAGAAAGTGATATCACACGTGGAAGCCACCTCAGCAGGAGTCCGGCCTAACCTGGCCCCCTCCTGGACGAACAGGTCGCACTGGAACACAAAGGAGACATCTCTGAGTCACCGTCAGCGTGCCAACACAGGTACTTCTAGAGTTAGCCAACATATGCATCCAATCTTTTATTAGCAATCAGATCAGTGTGGCCAACCTCTGGTACACTTCATGTAACGCTGATTGGTGACATATTTATTGCAGAACTGATTTTTTGGTAAACTCTTAATCTTAAAAGATTCTAATGTCAAACGTAATCACTTCCAACATATGTGGATCTTGTGCTCCAGGTTCTACGTCCTTGAGCCACATTAGTTTTCACTCCAACACTTTCAAACTGTGACCTACACTTGATATAAATTATATGTGCTTAAGAATATTTGACTTTGTTCCATTATTTATACCAAATGTGAAGACACTGAACATCAGCAGAAAGAGATTATCACTGATGGTCACTCTTTCATTAGACACAAGATCAGTAACAATCTTAGAGGGACAGTGACTGCAGTACCTTTTCTGCTGTGCGGTTCCACACTGTGACAACATGACCCATTTTCAACAGGTTGGAAACGATACCGCTACCCATCAGCCCCAGACCCAGGAACCCTATCCTGAAGAGCAAAGTCCAAAAAGAACAAACATGAGCACACCAACACTGAAAGGAAACATGAGCAGTTCTGCGTCTGTGGTCCAAGTTCTATTAAGTTTATTGCTCAACTCAGTAACAGTCATGCCCAGTGTTCTGCTTGTGAATGTTTTCTCTGTACACGTATGGAGTCGTTTTGATAATGTGTCGTGAGAATGTGTGAATACCTTTTATCTGTGGGTGTGATGCTGCCGTTGATGGCTGTGCTGTCTGCTGCTTGGATAGATGTGGACCCCGAGTCCTGCACAATCAAAGGCAACACTGTCACTCTCACACTGCACGAGAAGCCTCAACTAGCTTTGCTATCTCCTGATAGGTTGTCATTGAAAACAATAGTTTCTAATCTGACTGTAGACGGTCAAATGAACATTAATGTAAACACATGAAAATTGAAACACATTGACTCATTAGTTTTACTAATATTCACCTCTTCAATGATCTTCAGCCGCTTGCTAATGGGTTCCATTGATGATGCTGGCTGTGAGGAAACAGTCAGTGATGAACAATACACTCTACACATTAGAGTCAACATGTCTCAAGCCAAACAGACTACGCCAACACTAAGAGATGCAGTGAATATGTGACCAAACAACAGCTACGAACAAACATCTCATTCAGATGAGCCACATCGAGGCCACACATGGTTAATATCAGTGCAATGTTGTGTATAGTGTTAGTGTTGGATTGATTGGTGCGTCACTAAGTCAAACACTAATGTAATGAGTTTAGCATTCCATAGGTATTACATGCTGAATGCAGAAAGCAAACCCTACAGGCTGAAAAAGGCTTTTTCAGTGGAACTGTTTCTACAGGCCCACATGGGGTGGGGGGGCACAAGACTAGAGTCTCAGATCGACTGTCAGGCGAGATCAGTAATGTGGAACCCAACCTCTGATCGGGTGAAGAAGATGTCAGCATACTGAGCGTGCTTCCTCTTACCTTCTCAGACTGGCTGAGGAGGAAGTGATGGAAATGTGGGTCGTCCTTCACAGGCTGCAACAGAAGAAGAGTTCATTGTGACAGCGTTCTCTCTGCATATGTGTCGACCTGACAGACTGTCGAGCGAGAACCCATCGAGTCTACAGCGCACCATGCTGACACACCAGGGCTCCTATCGTGGTCCGAAGACATTTTGGAGTGATTCCATCCATGGCCTAGAAATCAGATGCTGGCCTGGGGTGCTAATGAATAAAGACTAAATCAAATTCCTCAATCGTGTTAATTGTCCTGATGAATTTTACAATTCTCTCTCACCAGTGACAACCCTGTCCGTGTTCAGCTGCTGCACAGATCATTGAGCCATGAATACTCACACCAATACAGAGCAAGAAGAATAGTTTCACAGGCGACACAAGTGCTCATGCTTTATACGATTACAGGTGGACTTCCCTGCATTCGTTACGTCACAGTTCTACACTGATCACAAGCCTTTATCCCCCAGCTAGTAAGGGGACAGGAAGTAGGCAGGTGATCATATGAAAACATAGCAAGCAAATCACAAAGTACTCAAATAGTTTTTCTGTAGCAGAAGGTCCAAGTATGAGTCCTCTGGTCAAGAGGACTCAGGAGTTCATTCAGGCACAGTGCACCTCCACTAAGTGATCAGCTCAACCCACAGTCAGTCACTATCTGATTCTCTCCATGCAAGTGGAAACTGGTGAACTCTGTACGAGGTAGCCAAACAGTTCGGGAAAAAAAAAAAGAATCTATTGACAGGATTATTGTCGTTTAGCTTTTTAGAAGCAGAAAAAGATGATCTATTTTCTACCAGGCATAGATTATATTCAATATGTTACAGTACTGTAGAGGAAATGCAGAGAATGGCATCTGAAACAAGGACATGAGTCTTTTCTGTTTACCAGTCAGCAGACCATAAAGGAGGCCGAGGTCAGCAGCATCTCTCTACTGGCTGAATGTACAGACACACACAGCTTCCTCTGTGACAACAGCTCCTCACATAAAGACTCTCCTTCTGAACTCACAATCATACGGCCGCATTTGAGTGGATTCACTGGAGCTGCAGCCATAAACTCATTTGTAAAAATGTTTCCACTGACATAGATCAACAGTTAATGACTCAAACTGTATATGGGTGTGCACCATTTCCTCACACACACACACACAGTGAGAGAGAGATGAGGTGGTACAGGTTTAAGATTACATTCAGAGTGGTCAGAAGTGGTCCTGAAGAGCAGGGTGACTCATTAATACCAGTCAATCCTAGAAAGCTGATGAAGAAGTCACACATTTGTGGGTCAGCTGAATCACACCTCAGCCTCCCTTTGAGCCTCCACATACAGAGACAGTTTCAGGAGTCAGGAGTGAGCACCACACAGGTGAGAAAGTAAAGGTCTGCAGTTGCTGGTGATTAAAGCCAAAGCTGAAGGTCAGGTAGAAGAACAGCAACGCAAGGCAGGCTTGTGGGGAAGGAGTTCACCTACACTGCTCTCCCATTTGAATCCTGAGCCAGGTCCAGCCCCCAGCCTCTCAAGAGTGGACGGCTCGGGGTCAGAGTCAGTTAGGTCCTTGAGGAGGAGAGAGACACACATTCACCTTTCTAAAACAAACGGTGAATCCGTAGAGGTCCGTGTCTGCTGTAGTGGGGGATGTTCATACACGGAGGACCAAATATAAAATTAATTTCACCTCCACTGTATTGGGATTGAGGCAGAAATCTGTATTTCTAAACCTGCACCAATAAAAGCAAAGTGATCTGCATCGATGTCGGGCGTGTGGTATTGAGACAACATTAGCTCCACAGCCTCTGATGCTTGACGTGTCCTACTTGAAGGTGTCACAGATCCAGGTTTATGAATTGAAGTCGATTAAAGAACTTCATGATAGTGATGAGTGGTTTTGTTGTCCCAACAACTCCAACTGAGTGATACGTCCTCTATCTGGAGGATTGTGTGACGTCAATTTCACATTATCCAACTTATCAATCATTTTATCTAACAATGAGATCAAATTAAAAGATATGGGGCTTTATTATACAATGATATTGCCTAACAGCGACCGTTTCCTGAAATACTGCTGGTTCCATGTGATGGCATTATACATCTGCTGCAGCATGTCAATAGAAACACACTTATACGCTGCAGTACCCAAGTAATGCAGCGTATAATGGTGCACAATTTAAAGTGATCCCACCCCTGCTAGA